TCCTCCCCTTCCCCTCCCTTCCCTTGCTCACTCCCTCTCCCACTCCCACTCACTAGCTTTGTCTGCAGCAGTCAAGCCATCAGCATCAACAGCTGCCACGTCAGCACCACGTGCCAGCAGCAGACGCACCACCCCCTCATGCCCTGCCCCTGCAGCGCGGTGCAGAGCGGTGGCGCCCCCTGCTCTCGTCCTTGCTCCCACTGACGCCCCATGCTGCAGGGAGGAAGAACAGATGGAGTGTTAGCCAGTGAAACTTCATGTGCAAGCGGCAGCAACCAACAAAACCCCTCATGACGGTCCCTGAAGTGCGGTGCAGAGTGGTGGCGCCCCCTGCTCTCGTCCGTGCTCCCACAGAAGCTCCACGCTGCAGGGGAGGAAGGGAGGGAGTGTTTTAGATTGCTTGTTCATGTGCGAATTTCAATCACCCAACCTCTCAGGCTGTGCTTCTGTAGCGCAGTGCAGTGCGGTGCAGAGCGGTGGCGGCCCATGCTCTCGTCCTTGCTCCCACGGACGCCCCCTGATGCAAGGAGAGTTTGCAAAGGCAACTTCGTGTGCAACCAACCAACTTTCTCGTGTCCCGCCCAGTAAAATCCAATTTTAGGTCCCGTCAAGAAGCATTGGTAATAGTAGGGGTGAGTCTCACTCACTTTCAGCAGCAAATCGCAGATCTCCACGTGTCCTGCTCGCGCGGCGTAGATCAGAGGCGTGTGCCCGTTCGGTAGCCCACTGTCGGAATCCTTTCCGTACGTGCCACGTGGCAAGCATCCGTCGGCGCAAGCGCCTCGATCGAGCAAATAACGGACACGCGCAACGTCCCCCCGTTGCGCGGCGCCCCCAAGGCCCCGCTCGAAGTCCATTTCCTCCAGCGATTGGTGCATCGGGGGAGCGGAGGCGCCATGGCACGCGCAGCAGGCGGCGGAGGCGGTAGTTGCGCACGGGGCTAAACGGTCGTTGTGTAGCGATGAAGCCATTCGTCCTAAGGAGCTGGAAAAAGACCTAGCAAAACAGTTACGGGTGTAGAATATGAAAGGTGGTTGTATTGCGGCTATCAAGCAAGGTCGAAAGAGGACTTGATCCAAAACGCCGATGCCGGGGATCGAACCCGGATCTTCCGCGTGACAGGCGGAGATACTGACCATTATACTACATCGACATGTCAAGGGCCAACATTGTAAAATCTATAATCTAAAAATAATGTCTTGTGAGCGATCTGTCTGAGAGTGCTGCTGTCTACCTGCGAGCGACCACATTTCCCTTAGACTTCTCTACTTGTTTTGTGGCTAGACCAGATTCTGATCTTCGCCCACCAAGCAAGATGGCTGCCAGAAATGTTGTTACTGAGATCCTGAAGAAGCGTGGTCGCCTCCCGTCACTGTTCTCTCCGCGTGTGCTTGTGAGTATCAGGCGAAGTAGATAGCCGATCACGTCTCCCATTTAAAGGCGTTACCTTAGCCAATCGTATTCTGCATTGCAGGCAGACGCGGTGCCGTGCCCGGTTCAGAGACATCCGGCCGGCGCAGCTGGAACGGCAGAATCTGTAGGAGTCACTTCCCCTGAGACCAACGTGAGTGGTTCAGCTGATCTGGATGTTTTAGGCCTCATTCTGAAATGGTGTACTTTGTAGGCAGCGTTCTGAACTCAGGCAGTGTGCTGAACTATGATGGTGTACCTCTGAACTCGGGCAGAAATGGCGTCGTCTGGGATGGCTTCTGGCCGCGGGTGGAATCGCCACTCTTCCGACATTCGTCAGCACTTCCGAATCAATCGCCCTTTCGGAAGCCTCATCAGAGGTACTTACCGTCATATTGCTTTCCGTTTTCGTCTCCTTTTCGTGGTAGCCGGTAACTGAATTCTTCTTATGCGTCCGTACAGGAAAGTAGTGCGGGGAAGTCTGATGCCGGAGGACCAGATGGGTCGTTCAAACCTCAGATCGTCTTCGTCCTTGGTACGTTCCTCGCGTCATGATCCGTTAACCGTAGACGATGCAGAGTTTTATTCCATTCCAAGCTCTCAACGGTTCTGATCGAAGGAGCAGGTGGTCCTGGGAGTGGCAAGGGAACTCAATGCGCGAAGATTGTCGAGGAATACGGATTCACCCATCTGAGCGCTGGCGATCTTTTACGTGCTGAGATCAAGTCTGGATCTTCTCACGGGTAAGAAGTCCCCCCCCACCCCCCCTTCCCCCCCCCACTCTCCCCGCAAGTTCGCGTTGCGCCTTCCGTGCATAGGATGTTTCGCTGCTGAAGTGTACGTTCTTCTTTTGCTGCAGAAACATGATTCAGAACATGATTAAGGATGGAAAGATTGTTCCGGCCGAGGTCACTGTTGGTCTGCTTCAGAAAGCAATGAAGGAGAGTGGGAATAATAAGTTCCTCATTGATGGGTTTCCTCGGAACAACGATAACAGGACAGTCTTTGAAAACCAGGTATACAAAAACTGCTTAATCATTTGTTGTTGTCTGATTGTATTGGTTCGAAATCTGACAGCTCTTCGTTGCTTGCAGACTGGCATCGATCCTGAGTTCATTCTCTTCTTTGATTGCCCTGAGGACGTGATGGTCAAGCGTCTTCTTGGAAGAAACCAGGTGAGCTTGCCAGGCCTTGTCCCTTGTAAAAGTAAATGATTTGTTACAAATACTAATGAGACCTTTCGTCTTCTGCAGGGCCGTATTGACGATAACATGGATACCATCAAAAAGAGATTCCGGGTTTTCTTGGACCAGAGTGTTCCAGTTGTGAATCATTATGACTTGCGCGGCAAAGTGCGAAAGGTCAGTGAAAATGTGCTTGAAGAGTTGAGCCCGTGACAATGATAAGGTGTTTAGGCGAAGTCTGAGCTCTCCCTATTGAATGCTTGCTTTTGCCATAAGAAGGGACAGAAAATCATGCTGGCAAAGAAGAAGCATCGACTTTTTGTTCTGTGTGGCCCCATTTGTAGTTTGGCAGTGTCATACTTTGGAACCACTGATTCCATGCCGATTTTGTGTTGCAATGCAGCTTACCATGAATCCTTGACTTCCATGCAGGTTGATGCCACCCGTTCCCCCGACGAAGTGTTCCAAGCAGTTTCTCCTCTTTTCACCAAGTTCCGTGAGGTATGCAGCTGCTTCTGCTTCTGTGATGAGACTTCTTTTGGCAGTACGTTCAGTGCTGACAGTCTTTCATTGTCACAGGGTGATTTGCTTGACAGCACGAAGGCCTTGCTGAATGCCATTGACACTGGAGATTACAAGACGTACTCCAACCTCTCAGACGAACACCTTTCTGCCTTTGAGCCTGAAGCACAAGGTATGTCGATTTCCATGCAAGGGTGTCTTATGTCCAGAGCACTTCCGCATTGTTTCTGATGGTTCACTCGCTGGCTTGCAGGTGGCTTGGTCAAGGGCCTGGAGTTCCACAAATACTATTTCGATCGCAGCACTGGGAATGGTTCATCAAAGTCAACCATGGTCGCACCCCACGTTGCCATTGTTGGCAATGCTGGAGTTGTTTCCTACACTCGCCTTGTTCAAACGACAGATGCTTCGGGGAAGGTGGGAAGCAAAGCGTTCAACGAGACGAGAGTATGGGAGCGGCGGAAGAGTGCTGATGGAGCTTGGGGGTGGAAGAACATTCACTTTCACCGGTCCCAGGTGTGATACGACGTATGGCATTGAACTGGTGTTTTATAAATACTAGAATGTGCCTTGGATATGAAGTGTAATACCGTACCATCCATGGATCCTAGTGCCACACTTTGTATGACGTGCAATGGTCCATCTACAGATGACATTGGAATCTTGATTTTCGAGTACCGGTGCACAGGAGGAATCAACAGAGACGGTTTTGGGCAAGGGGGGTTTCCCAGATGGGCGGGCAACTGTCAACGCATTCGGCGAAAACCCAGGTTGCTCACCGTGCGATGTGATGTGCGCGACCCTGCTACCAGATGCACTCCTCTGCTCTCGGCGAACTTTAACGACGTCGATTCCTCCCCCACCCGCCGCCATGTGTTGGGTGGGAGAATTGCGGAGATTTGGGGATCTGCTGCTCGCAAGGTGGGGGAGAAATCAGGGGAGGGAAAACCCGAGCTCACAGAGTAAATTAGGGCTGTAGGGAGGAATGGCGCTGTTTCTTGTGGATTTGGGTTGGTTCATCTCGTCGTCCCTTCTATGCCGCACAGGAGTCCCTGGTTTCTCTTCACAGCCATAATTCTCCGTTTCTTCTCTCTGCCGTTTCCGTTTCCAATCTTTTCGCGTGCCACTGTAGGCTGAGCTGCTCGTGAACGTGTGAAGTGGTTTGGAAGACAGGAAGAGTTAGCTTGAACGGCCACTCTAGGGCTTTCGTCTTCGTAAGTTCGTTTCCGCCGAAGTTAGTACACCCGTTAGTGTCAACTTCATCTCGTACTATAAGTTTCCAACGGACTGATTCATTAGTGTGGTGCTCAAGAAGCTAGTATGGAGGACGGCAAAGAGGCCGTCGCCCGTCCAGAAAACGGATCTGGCGCACCGCCGAATGCGCAGATGACTTATGAAGCTTCTCAAAAGCCATCCGGCGTCGCGACAAATCTCCCGCAACTTCCGCCGCCCGTTGCGCGTGGCTTCGAGCCCCCCCGAGACCCATCTACAATCCACACTTCCCAGAATATACACTCGCAAGTAGAAGTTACTTCGGGTTCTACCCCTGGGACCGTTGCCGGCGGCCACGGAATTGGGAAGAATGCAATCGCCGGTCCCGGAATTCCCGGAACTCCTGGAAGCTCTTTCGCGGGTCAAACTGGCGTCGAAGGAAGCGGTCCGAGCACTCCTGGCCCGCCGGCGGCTTTAATCGGCGGAGTAAGCGGCTCGTCGGGGATGGAGACTACTCCGCAACAGACGACGCCGCCAGGTCGCGGCGCGGATACGAAGGCGTTTGTTAAGGAGCTTCAGGCGTTCTTCGAGTCGCGCCATCAGGAGTTTAAGGTTCCGAAGTTCTATGGCGTGGAAGTCGATCTGCTGAAGTGAGTTAATTACCAGGTTACAATGGGTCTATACTTATTCTCACGGAAGGTAAGGCGTCGTGCTAGGGTATTGAAACGGGGTGCGACACTCTCCCTCACCTTCCCCCCCCCCCCCCCACAACCTACCACCCTCACGCTCTTTTTCGCCCTCTTTCGAAGTCGCGCAATCATTCCGGCCTTTCATGGTATGATACGATACGAGCTCCGGAGAGTCCTAATTTTAGGTATTTCTCGTATCTAGGACGGCGACAGGGCGATTCCGTCGGCAGCAGCAGCAGCAGCAGCAGCAGTTGCAGCAGGAGTGTTCTAATGGCCATGTGTAATTTCGTTGGCTCGCACTTTTCTCTGGCGTTACCGCGCTGTAATTCTTGAGGCTCCTCAAAACTCGTTCGTAGGTAAAGGTTTTCTTCCTTGTCGTCCGTTTCCCCCCTTCTTCCCTCTACTCGCTTCCCCTTTTCCCCCCCCTTCGCGTTCCTTCCGCTTCACCTCCTCATTTTGCAGGCTCTGGCAAGTCGTCTGCTCTTTCGGTGGCTTTGACAAGGTGACAACTTTGCTCCTTCGTTTTGATGGCATGCTGTGTGTGTATGCAATGCGACGTTTAGAATTCTGACTTGACAAGGTATCCATGTTATTCCCCCTTTTGAAAAGTACGACGTCGTCCTTTCAAGGTCTCCCTTGCTTGTTGTATCGTTACTGTGTCACTCTCAAACCAAATCTCCCTTTTTTCCGTTCCCAATTATCAGGTGACAAGTGGCAAGCTCTGGCGTGTCGTTGGGGACCAGTTCGACCCTCCCAAGTACGCCCTTTTCCCAGTCCCTCCATTTGTTTTTGAGGCGGCTTGATTTTTTTTCTTTTTTTTTTTCTATTATTATTATAAGGCGATCCATCTGCTTTCGCAGCTAGCTACCCTGTCAGGAGAATGTCCAGCAATATGCTGACCTCCACTTGAGGCAACATTCTCACTCATGGGCGCCTAAAAGATGCCAGTGGACCGTCTTTCACTCTCACTCACTCACTCACTCTCACTCACTCGCTCCCTCCCTCCCTCGCTAGTAGTAAACGGCTGCGTCTATCAGTTGCTTTCAATTGTTCCATGCCGAATCGTGTTCCATTTCTGTGTGTTCCGTGTTTGCCTGCGTTCAGGTCATGCACAACACTCTCCTGGTCCTTCCGGGGTTTCTACGAGAAGGTACGCTTCTTAACTGTAACGGAGCTGGTAGGTTCTGACAGGGCTGGTGGGTTCTGGCAAGTTTTACAGGGCGAATAATTTCTTGTCTTACACAAGAACGTTGCGAGACTCTGGAAAATGCACGCTTTGCTCGCATGCTTTGATCGCATGCTCCCCTCTTTCCCCCCTCTCGCCCCCTTCGTCCCTCTTTCCCCCCTCTCGCCCCCTTCGTCCCTCTTTCCCCCCTCTCGCCCCCTTCGTCCCTCTTTCCCTCACTTACAACCTTCCTTCCCTCCCGCCTCCAGGCGTTACCGGAGTACGAGAGGCACGTGGGCGTGGTCCCCTTGCTGGAGCGTACCTCTCTGAACCCCTCTCAACCCTTCTCAACCCCTCTCAACCGCCCCCAGGCACTGCTGGAGTACGAGAAGCACGTGGGCGTGGACCCCATGCTGGAGGGCACTCTCGCCATCACCCCACGCACCGACGGCAAGCACCACCAGGAGGTGGGTGGTGCTGTGGGGGTGGGGGGGTGTGGGGGGGTGATGGAGAGAGATGGCACGGGGTGGGGGGGTGATGGAGAGAGATGGCACGGGGTGGGGGGCACGGGGTAGTGGGCGCAAGAGTGGGACCCCTTGCTGGAGGGCACTCTCGCCATCACCCCGCGCACAGACGGCAAGCACCACGGCGGGCAGCAGGTGGGTGGTGCGTGCAGGGGGGGTTGCGTTGTGATGTGGGCTGGTTAGGGTGGTGGTGCGGCCACGGGGGGGCCTTCCTGGAGGCCACTCTAGCCATCACTCCGCGCACCGATACCACGCATCAAGGTGGGCAGGAGGTGGGTGTGCTGCGTTCTATGAGCCCCTGCCAGGAGGTGCGGTGCGGTTGAGTGAGGTGCATGCTGGTGTGGTGTGGTGTTACCCCGTGTGTCTGGTTGATCCGATTCTGTTGCTTGGATTGCAACAAAAAATACAATCTTGGAGTCACGTGGAGCCAAGAGAATGGTTGAAATTGGAGCCGCGCTTCGCTTTTGAGACTGGTTAATCTTATTTTTTATTGCTTTTACCCGGTTTTGTTGCTTTAATCGCAGCAGGGGGGCAGTGGGCCACGTGGAGCCAAGCGATTGGCTGCAGCCAAGACTGGGGCAGCTGATGGGGATCACACGGATACTCCCAAGGTGAGTGCTTTGCATGTGGGCCAGTTTAAGGTGATGTTTTGGATTGAGGGGCTGAGCACATAACTGTGGAACACTTGTGACAAAGAAAGTTGCACATTTATGTGTATCAAACTATTTCTTTCTCACACCCTCCCCTTTAACATAAGAACCCTGCCAGTCCTTTCCTCTCCCTTCTACTCATCCATACTCTTCTCCCTTCTCCCCTGTTGTCTCCCCCTTGCCCCTCTTCTCCCCTGCTGCTCACATCACATCTTTCCAGGAGCGTGCCACTCCAGGATTTGGCCCAAAGCGGGCCCAAAGAGTGCTGCTCTCATCACATCTTTCCTGGAAAGCGGCAATTCTCTTGGGCGCTTCAAGGTCGCCTCATTCCCCCCCTCACCCGATTCCCCCCCCTCCTCCCTCTCTCCCCTCCCGCTCCCCCCCTTCCTTTCTTCTCACAACACACAACATTGATTCAGGAGCATGGCACCCCAGTATCTGGCCCAAAGCAGCAATTTTTGGAGGCGCCTCAACGATCGTGTCAATTCTCCCCTTCGCTCTCCCTCCCACTCTCCCCCCCTAACCCCCTCCCCCCATCCCCCTCCCCCTTGCTGCTCACACATCTTCCTTCCAGGAGCGCGGCACCCCAGGATCAGGCCCAAAGCGCCACATCCTATTGGGCCCTTCAAATATTGCCTCAATCCCCCCCTCGCCCCTCTCCCTTCCACATCACATTACCTCTATCCAGGAGCGCGGCACCCCAGGATCAGGCCCAAAGCGCCACATCCTATTGGGCCCTTCAAATATTGCCTCAATCCCCCCCTCGCCCCTCTCCCTTCCACATCACATTACCTCTATCCAGGAGCGCGGCACCCCAGGATCAGGCCCAAAGCGCCACATCCTATTGGGCCCTTCACATATTGCCTCAATCCCCCCCTCGCCCCTCTCCCTTCCACATCACATTACCTCTATCCAGGAGCGCGGCACCCCAGGATCAGGCCCAAAGCGCCACATCCTATTGGGCCCTTCAAATATTGCCTCAATCCCCCCCTCGCCCCTCTCCCTTCCACATCACATTACCTCTATCCAGGAGCGCGGCACCCCAGGATCAGGCCCAAAGCGCCACAGACGGACCCAGGATGGAGGTGAGGGAGAGCGAGGAAGAGTGAGGGAGAGTGAGGGAGAGTGAGGGAGAGTGAGGGAGAGTGAGGGAGAGTGAGGGAGAGTGAGGGAGAGTGAGGGAGAGTGAGGGAGGTCATTCCATGCCAAAGCATGGTGAGCCCAGGCCAACTCGTGCATTGCGTACATGCAAGTCAAGTCACTTCAATACTCCCTTCCTCTCTCACCCACCGTGCTGATAGAAATGGAACTTAACTGATTGATTGATAAGGAAGGCACGAGGCCTTAAGTACAAACACGGTTGGGTTGAGCAAAGCTAGGGAAAGGATGGGATGGGAATCCTAGCAAATCTCCAATTGGTGAGTTGGCAGATTTGCAGGATTACGAGGGAATCCCAACCAGATAGGGTTGGGATTACAAATCTACACCCAACCTACAAAGTAACCTAACCGATATAGAATTTAGTACAAAGTGTTGACTGACTATTTCTAACACACCCCCTAGGCTGACAACACTTCAGCCACATGGCGGTCCAACACCCATGGACGAGAGGAGGCGGTAGTGGTCTTGACGAACAAGAGACTTGGTAAACAAGTCAGCAAGGTTGCAGTCGGAGGCAATGTGTTCTGCCTTCAGCTGCTCGCGCTGCACCAGCTCACGAAGAAAGTAGTGACGGACTTCAATGTGCTTGGTGCGGCCGTGGAAGACGGGGTCCTTGGTGAGATGAATGGTGCTCTCGTTGTCACACCAAAGCGTTGGGGCTGGTTGAGGATACCCAAGTTCTGCCAGCAAGAAGGAGAGCCAACGGGCCTCCTGGGCAGCCATGGTCCCTGCATACAGCTCTGCCTCACAGGTCGACAGTGAGACGGAAGACGACCGAGTGGAGCGCCAACTGACAACCCCACTGCCAAGGGTAAAGCAATACCCTTGGGAAGAGCGCCGATCACTCTGGTCATCAGCATAGGACGAGTCACTGTACCCCTCAAGGCGAACAGGGGAAGAGCCGCCAAGAGTGAGCACATAGTCCTGTGTGCCTTTGAGATAGCGGAGGACCCGCTTGGCGGCAGACCAGTGGTGGCTCGTGAAGCGACCAGGTGCAACGTAGCGAGACAGGACACTGACTGGATAGGCCAAGTCTGGTCGAGTGCACATCATCGCGTACATGAGGGAACCAACGAGCTCGGGGTAAGCCTCATCGCAGGGCTCAGGTGAGGGAACAGAGGGTGCAGTGAGTTGGTGCTGCAGAGAGAGTGGGGTGGGCATTGAAGCTGCTTCCTGCATCTTGAACCTTGTCAGAACGTTGTTGATGTAGAACTTCTGCGAGAGGGTGATGGTGCGGGCCGTGCGATCACGTGTGATTTCCATGCCCAGATAGTTCGTCAGCTTCCCAAGATCCTTCATGGCCAGCTTCTCACCAAGTGCGGCTTTGACTGCTGCCAGCTCAGTCTGATCCTTGGTGACAAGGATCATGTCATCGACATAAACCAAGATGAAGAAGCGGGATGGTGTTGCTCGAATGAAGAGGCTAGGGTCAGAGGTGGATGGGTGAAAGTCGAGGGACCCTAAGGTGCTCTTGAGCTTGTGCCATTCCCGGGGTGCTTGCTTGAGGCCATATACTGGTCGATTCAGCTTCCATACAGTGCCTGGTGGAAAAGGAGCTGGAAATCCTTCGGGCCGCTCCATGTAGATTTCCTCTCGAAGGATCCCTTGCAGAAACGCAGAAGACACATCCATGCAGTCAACCTCCATGTCATCTCGAGCGGCCACATCGAGAAGGGTGCGCAGTGTGGGAGGTTTGGCAGTGGGAGAGAATGTCTCAAAGAAGTCCAGTCCACGCTTTTGGGTAAATCCCTTGGCACAGTACCGGGCTTTGAAGACAGGAAATTCGCCTGGAAGTTGTTTCACCCGGAAAACCCATTTTCCCTTCACAATGTTGACGCCGGAGGGAGGAATGATATTTGTGAAAGTCCCTGTGTGAATGAAGGCCTCACACTCTGCGATAATGGCCCCTATCCACTGAGCGGAGTTAGGACCAGAAACTGCTTCAACATAGGTGAGAGGTGTGGGGATGGAGGGGTTGTCTGAGAAGTTGAGGGTGGGAGATTCTGCGATATCTGGAAAGAGAGAGCAGAGCGCGTGTATGGCTGAGTCAATGTCAATCAACTCCTCATGTCTGTCCTCAAGAAGGGAGGGCATGAGCGAATAATCACCCCCGACAGGAGGAGGATTGAGAGAGACACGAATGGAAAGGGAAAGAGGCTTGGGAGCTTTGTGCGAGCGGGTGCGACCAGCGATGGGGGAGGGAGGCGGAGCTGGAGGAGGAGAAGCAGGAGGTGTAGTGGCAGCATCAGGAGCAGCAGCTGAATCGGGAGCAGGAGCCAGATCAGGAGCAGGAGGTGGAGCAGGAGCAGGAGCAGCAGCAGGAGGACGGCGTTGGTAGGTTTTGAGAGGAATGGACTCGGGGGCGGGAAGGAGCGGGGGAGACTGCGTGGTGCTGGATGGGGAAGTGGGTGACGGGGGGTCGGAAACTGTGGAGGGAGCGGGAAGAGGAGGAGATGGAGTGGTGGCAGGAGGAAGGATGTCAAAGTCAGCCCATGTTAGAGAAAGAGGAGGAGGAGAAGGAGAAACTGTGGAGGAGGGGTAGAATGGGTGGGATTCATCGAAGAAAACATCTCGGCTGCGATAGAGTTTGTTGGTGGTAGGATGGAGGAAGAGGTAGTCTGGTGAGTCCAAGTTGTGCCTGAGGTACACGCACGTGATTGTTTTCGGAGCAAGCTTGCCGCCAGCTGCACGACGGGCTTGGGAGTTGAGGAGGACATAGGAGGTGCACCCCCATACACGAAGAGGGCGGACGGACGGCTTTTGACCCGTCCACAGCTCTGCGGGGGTGGTGTGGGTGTGGTGAGGATGAGGATGGAGATTGTGGAGGGCGGCAGCATGGAGCATGGCGTATCCCCAAAGAGAGGGAGGGGCGGAAGCATGAGTGAGGAGGCAGCGAGCAATCTGCACCAGGATGCGGTTTCGGCTTTCAGCAACACCGTTCTGTTGAGGGCTGTCTGGGAGAGTGAAGGTCTGTTGGATACCCTCAGTAGAGCAGAAAGCTTTGAGAGTGTTGTTGCGGAATTCACCGCCACCGTCAGAGTGAAGAAACTTGATTTTGGTTTTGAAGTGTGAATGAGCCTGCCTGGCCCATTCCATGATGATGGCTGGGGCTTCAGACTTGGCGGTGAGAAGGTGAACAGACACATAGCGGGAATAGTCATCAATGATGACAAGGAAGTAGAAGTGTCCGCCACGGGAACGAACAGGAGCTGGACCCCAAAGGTCCATGTGTACGCGATCGAGAGGTGCGGTAGAGATGGACTCAGTGGGAGGATGGGGCTGTTCCCGAAGCTTGCTCTGTGCACAGTCAAGGCAAGGCGGTCCAGAAAGAGAGGGGGGTTGTGGAAGTGAGGCGGGCAGTCCATGAAGGAGTTGCTTGGTGGCAAGGTCGGAAAGTGCGCGGAAGTTGATGTGGCCGAGGCGGTTATGAAATAGCATAGTCTTGTCAGTGAGGAGGCGGCAGTGACATGAGGGGGAGTCTGAGGATGGAAGCGGAAGGTTGGTGAGGGAGCATGTTTGAACGGGAGGTACAACTAGTGTGTACAGGTTGTTGGAGTTGAGGGTGAAGCGGGCAAGATGGAGTCCGGTTTTGGCGTCAAACATGTCACAGTAGTCAACATCATTGGGAAAGATGGTGATCACGCCTGCGTGTTGGATTTCCCGCTGTGCAAGAAGGTTGTAGCGGAGGGTTGGGGCACAGATGCCAGTGACGGTGCCAGATGGGAATGCTGGACAGGAAACTGTGGAGGAGCCATGCCATTGGATGGAGAAGCTAGAATCTGCTCCAAGGAGTGAGGTGGGAGCCTGATAGGGAACGAAGGCGGTTTGGTCTTTAAGCACTGTGTGGGTGGCACCACTGTCTAGTATGAACTCGATTCCCTGTGTGGTTGAAACACCGATGTACTGCGACCCCTTCTCATTAATAAGACCAGCACCAGAGAACAACAGGTTAAGGCGAACATCAGATGGGGCGCTAGCAAATGCCTGAGCAGGTTCCTCCACTGCCTCGACCTGGTTCACGCGACGGGGTGGTGCCCAGTTGGGAGGGCGCTTGTCCTTGGAGACACCATGGACGTCATACCACTCGTCATCTCGCTTCTTGAAGCAAGTGGCCTCAGGGTGGTTGGTGCCGTTGCACTTCTGCCCCGCACGTGGACCCTTCCTAATGAGGTACTGGCATGGGGGAAAGGAGTTGCGCCTCTGGCCCTGCTGGGAACGAAATGGAATGCCAGGGGAGTAGCGCACAGCATTGACTGATGCCTGGGCTGCAAGGTCCTTTTCCGCAGAGAGAAGGGCCGAAGCGACTTTCTCGAAGGTGAGTTCCTTGGTGGGGAGCTGCTTGAGCATGGAACTGGTGACGTTGTAGGCCGGGGTGAGTCCGACGAGAAGCCCAGCAGCAGGTGCCTGTTCGGGGAAGGTGATCCCAATGTCCTTGAGCTCCTCATGGATGTTGCGGATTTCAGGGATGTAATCTGCCATGCCCGGGCATTCCTCAAGGCGGATTTGGAACATGCGAGGAATGAGGATTGCAACTCCCACGGCAGTCTTGTCATGAAAACGATCCTGGAGGTACTTCCAAATGTCATGCGCAGAGCGGAAGGTGCGGTAGGACTTGACTAACTCAACTGGGGTGGTGGTGATGAAAACCCTAATCACTGCCGCATCCGCCTGCTCCCAGAGACTGAAGTCCGTCTCATACTTGGTGGTCTTAGCATCGAAAGCGCTCTTGGCTGTGGGAGTGGCGCCTTCACCGAGAGGATCGGGAGGGAGAGGCATCTTCCCCTTGCCGCGGTTGAGGAGGATGTCCTTGAGGCAAACCCCTTTGAGCTCCGAGCTAAGGAGGTGCTTCTCCACTCCATAGCACCACTCCCCGAAATTGGTGCTCGTGCCGTTGGGAGCGAGGTTAAGGATGATGAGGTTTCCGACGAGAGTGGAAGTAGAAGTTGCCATTTCGCGCGGAGCGCAGCGCTAAAGTCTCCGATACGTAGCGGAGCGAAGTCCGAAACGCGATTTCGGCAATAGAATGCCCGTACAAATACCCTGTTATACTGCTTCGCCGATGCCCCCTGTTCTGCTTCGCTGCTGCCCCTGTTCCGCTTCTCTGCTGCGCCGCTGACCTGTTCTGCTGCGCCGCTGACCTGTTCTGCTGCGCCGCTGACCTGTTCTGCTGCGCCGCTGAACCTGTTCTGCTGCGCCGCTGAACCTGTTCTGCTGCGCCGCTGAACCTGTTCTGCTGCGCCGCTGAACCTGTTCTGCTGCGCCGCTGAACCTGTTCTGCTACGCCGCTGAACCTGTTCTACTGCGCCGCTGAACCTGTTCTGCTGCGCCGCTGAACCTGTTCCGCTGCGCCGCTGGACCTGTTCCGCTGCGCTGCTGAAAACCTGTTCCGCTGCGCTGCTGAAAACCTGTTCCGCTGCGCCGCTGGACCTGTTCCGCTGCGCCGCTGAAAACCTGTTCGAAGTTAAGAAGATGCGAAAATTTCGACGGAGATTAGAAAAAACCAGAGGCTTACGATGAAGGAAGTCGAAAGCTGAAAATGTCGCCGTTGAAAAACGAGAAGCGCGATGAAGGAAGCCGAATGCGCGCTTGAACGGAGCGACGATGTGAAGTTTCTGAAATACGCTAAGCGTAGGAGCCGGGAGCCGAAATAGGCATAGCCTAGAAGGAGACAACCATCGGGACGCCAAGGATCGGATTCCGCGTGAGCGGAATTTACTAGCTCGATACCATGATAGAAATGGAACTTAACCGATTGATTGATAAGGAAGGCACGAGGCCTTAAGTACAAACACGGTTGGGTTGAGCAAAGCTAGGGAAAGGATGGGATGGGAATCCTAGCAAATCTCCAATTGGTGAGTTGGCAGATTTGCAGGATTACGAGGGAATCCCAACCAGATAGGGTTGGGATTACAAATCTACACCCAACCTACAAAGTAACCTAACCGATATAGAATATAGTACAAAGTGTTGACTGACTATTTCTAACACGTGCTACACAACACACTCGATTCTCTCAATCCTTGCCACAACACAGTATCTTTCCTCCAGCTCCTTCCCCCCCCCCTTTTTTTTCCCCAAAATCTTCCCCCTCCAAATTCTTGTTCCCACCCCCAGCCTCTCTCTACTGCCTTATCAACTTCTCCAGCTGGATTAGGAAAGATTACCTTTCTTGTTAGCAGTTGCAAACTCTCATCCACTTGATCCATTCTCAACCATTCTCAACCATTCTCATCCATACCTCATTCTGTTGGCTCTCCTCTACTCATTAATCGCTACCTCCCACACTCCCTGCAACCAACAGAAGAAACACCTGAAGGAACACCTGGGGCGGCGACCAGGGCAGCAGATGCGCCCCGCCCCAGAGGCAGGCCGCCTGGGAGCGGGGGAGGTACACCTGGGGGAGGTGGCACCTCGGGGAGAGAGGGGGGAAGGCGGACTGCAGGGGAGGGGGGAACAGGGCGAGGGGGAGTGGGGGGAGGGGGAGCAGGGGTTGTAGGAGGGCCAGGGGGAGCAGTAGGGGGTGGAGTGGGGGGAGGAGTGGGGGGAGGGGGAGGAGTGGGTGCAGCAGCAATGGATGATGGGGCAGTGGCTGTGGTGAACGACTTGGGTCTGCCGGCCGATTGGGTTCGAATCAACGTCCGCCGATCAGTACGCATGGGCTGGGATTGGCACGGATGGGCTGGGTTGGGATGGGTTGATTTTGGTTGGAATTGGATGGCTTGGATTGGGCTGAGATGGATGACCACGACAGTATATTGTCAGGAAAGTGCAATATGCCTGCCATTTCCTGCCTCGTCGCTATGCTCTCCTCCCTCTGTGCCTTGCCTGCTCGCCTTTCAAGCCCCCTCTGACAACCCACATGATCTTTCATAGCTCTACTCTCGTCCCATATCTTTTGAATCAGATTTTTCTGTGCCCCATAACTCCTGCCTTTCCTGCTGCCCCCCACCTTCCCAGCCTTTTCCTTTCCCTTTATTTAGCTCTAAACTCTTTGAGACCAACGCTCGTGTTCCTTGTCTGTTTATGCTGGAAACTCTCTGCCCTTTTTCGCCCTCCCACCTTCCTCCTCCCCAGCCGGACTGCTTTGAAATCTATGCTCTGGTTCCGGGCCTGTTGCGAGAAGAGGTGAGCTGCGTAGGGAGAGATATGGGCCTTGAGCCGTACACTGTGTGAACAACAAAATATTCAGCAAAGGCTTACAGTAACAGGTTGAGAAGGTGAGGTGTAGAAGCAGGTGAGGGGTATGCTATTTGATTTGTTGTTCTACCTTTGTTTTCCACTTGGACCATGTTGAGCCGCACTGAACCGTGTGAGTCAGGCTGAACCATGTTGCGCAACCGTTACAAAAACCTTCCCACCTCACTTCACCCCGTCTCACCCCAAAAGTTTCTCCAGGTGCGCGTGCAGTGTGAGCCAGCAGGCAAGCTGGTAATTGCAGGGGAGCCAGAGCAACCCTTATTCACACCTTTCCACCGCATTTCACCCCTTCTCACCCCTTGTGCTCTCTTTCTCTCTCTCAGGTGCGCGTGCAGTGTGAGCCGGCAGGCAAGCTGGTCATTGCAGGGGAGCCAGAGCAACCGGACAACCCGTGGGGAGTCACACCCTTCAAGAAGGTGAGAAGCGTTTGAAAGACCTTTCTGAGGCGCGTCTTCTTGAGTCGTTTCTAAAATCGGAGCAACGGGACAACCCGTGGGAGTCACACCCTTTAAGAAGGTGTCTGCTTAGCTCTGCTTGATGAGTATTGTTTTGAAGGGCCTCTTTTAAACCGCCTCGTCTTTTGATGACATTTTCCTTTCAACGCCTTCTTTTTATGGCATTTTTTCTGATCATCGCTATTGTAATCGCAAATGCCTCTTGAAGGCCTCTTTCCAGTCACCACTGTTTTACTCACCTCTTTTTAACACTATATTACCTCCCCTCCTCCCCCTCCCCCCCTCATTGCAGGTGATTCTGCTCCCTGCAGCCATCAATGCAAATCAGACGTCAGCAGTGGTAACCCTACACGGCCAGCTCTATGTGCGAGCCCCCCTCGCCAACCCCGCCCCCTCCGCCCTCTCCCCCCAGCTGACCCCCATCCCCGCCCCTGAGCTTCCCCCTCCGCCCCTGCCACCGATGGGGGGAGGGCAGGGGCAGGGGGGACAGGGGCAGGGGCAGGGGAATCAGGGGAATCAAGGGCAGATGGGGCAAGGGCAGGGGCAGCAAGGGGTGGCGGCGCAAGGCATGGCACATACACATGGGCATGGGTATGGGCATGAGATGGGGCATGGGCATGGGTATGGGCATGTGAAGCAGCAGCCTTTTATTCAAGAGACGAACAGACAGCAGATACCCAAGGAAGAAGGTGTGGAGACCTCGCCCCTGCAACAGCAGCAGCATCATCAGCAGCAGCAGGGTGGGATTGAGGCAAGGGCAGGGCCGCAGCAGGGACTGGCAGCAGGTCATGCAGCATTAATGCAGCAGCACGCGAACCCACTGCCCCGGCAGCAGCAGGCACAGCCTCAGGTGCCATTTCAGGTGCAATCTCAGGTGCAGCTAGCTCAGCAGCAGATGCAACCGACTAGAACAAAGGAAGGATCAGCGGATGTGGATATGGTGGGTGGTGCTGACAGGGGTGAGGGGTTGAGAGATGGTAAGGATGGGAATGTGAGTGTGAATAAGCCGAATTACACCACCGAGTCTCAAAATGGGATGCCGCAACTGCTGCAGCAACCACAGCAGGGGAAGCAGGTGGAGCGGGAGACGGGCACTAATGATATGAAGATTGGCATGGCGGTTACCGCTGCTTCGTAACCAGCATTAGAACGAATGGTTTTAACAGTGAGTTTACCTGTGCGGACTGGAATGACATTGATTACCCAAGAAATGTTGACTGTTAACGTGTGCTTGTAAGAAGGCACATCATCGAGAGTCGTCGTGAGTCATAACTCGTGACTAGATAGATTGTCACACATGGTGTTGTTTCTGTGGTTACTGGCCGGTTTTGGAACTATGTAGAGTGTGGTTCATTCATGTTGAACTAAGCTACTGGAAACTGCAGATTGTTTGTTGCTGAGTTGTGTATGTATTGTCATGGTCATTCCATCTTTTGCTTATATTGCCCATAGATGGGTCACATTATAGTATTGCCGACCCTGTAAACCTTCAGTGGTTAGACAGTTCTTCTATTGAAGTGTTCTCTGAATCGCGTTATACGAACACGCCACCCTCCCCCCCGATAGTGAAACCCTAATTCTAATCTCGAGCCGCCTTGGATCGCAGATTAGGAGGGTGCAACGGTTTCGCGACCCGACCGCCTTCCTTTCTATACTTTCGTTCGCGTCCTCCTCACGGCCGCCGCATTCACATCTGTCGAGTTCCGTCCCACCGCTGAGAGCCGTTACCGTCAAATCCACCACCAAATTGGTCAATCCACTGGGACGAATCTGCTCGTAACGTTTTCAACCCCTACACGTTTCACGTATCCTTGACGGCCCTGTCCTTCACGTTAACCTTTTGACGTTGGCGATCAGCGACGCAGCGACGTTAGGCCACACCAGGCGACGCGATGGGGATCTTTTTGGACGAGCCCAAGTTTCCCGTGATCGATCGCACGCCGTCGTTCGGTCGCACGGTTGGTAACTTCACGTTCAGCGACTACAAGAACGTCGCCACGTTCACCGCCGTGTCGCTACCGTTCGGCTACCTCGCAGGTACGTCGCCGACCTGACTTGTATTGCAGATGCGTCACAGAACGAGACGCGTCATTGATTAGCAAGTCCGTTCCTGCTTCGGAGTTACGTACGTTCGTCTAACGTATTTAGCGAGTATCATGTTCAGCACAGCGATTACAATTGCGACCATCGTTCCCAGTGGAACCACGTGAAATGAGTGAGTTTTTGAGACGCCTCAAAAACTCACATTAATTTCACGCGAATTTTATTTTGATCACAGCGATTAGAATAGCACTATCGTTCCCCTTGGAGCCTCGCCTCGCCACGGTTTCTCTACCATTCGCCTACCTCGCAGTACCGCCTCCCGGATTAAGTTAATGTGTATACCAGCGGTCGTAACTTATGTACACTCATGCCAATGAGCACATATACCGGGTCTTACTATGGCTCGTCCTCCCCTTAACAGTCTCCCGTGCTTTCCCCCACCATCCCACTCCATCAGGTGTCACCCTCGTCTCGTTTCCTGCCAACCTAAGTTTCGTTTTGTTGTCCTAAAACAGCAAGAGTTGGTGGAAGTAAAGCCTCCGCAGCCCACCTGTCCGTTACTGACACGCCCCCCACCTTCCCACTCCATCATGTGTCACCCTCGTCTCGTTTCGTGCCAATCTGAGGGGCCCCAACATGTACTGTGCCAGCATACTTGGGCTGAGGGGGGATCTATGTACGCTTACCAGCAGGCATATAGATCTCCTATGTCTGACCTTCCCCACCCGTCTCTTGTGTTCCCCGCATCCCCCTTCCACACTGCCTCAGGTGGAAGCGCCAGCCTGAGGAAGGGGGCTCAGCATGTGCTGTGCGGGTACCCTGTAGCTGCACGTCTTCCCCTTCACTCCTCTCGTGTCTTCCTTCCCTGTCCCACCTGCAGCAGGTTGGAGCGCCAACTTGAGGGTTATCAGCATGTACTGTGCACGTTCTTTCTGAATCTGGCCTTCCCTACCTACCCTCCCCATCCTGTCTCGCCCTTCCCCACCTGCATCAGGTGGAAGCGCCAACCTGAGGGGTCCCAGCATGTACTGTGCGGGTATCCTTGGGCTGATGGGGGGATTCATGTATGCGTACCAGCAGTCACATGCACCTCTCTCTCTATGCTTATACACCTCGTCTCCCCCAGCCCTCATCTCCTGTGTCGTCTCCCCCCCCTGTCTCCCATTTCCCCACCTGCATCAGGTGGAAGCGCCAACTTGAGGGGACCCAGCATGTCGGTATTCTCGGGCTGATGGGGGGATTCATGTATGCGTACCAGCAGTCGTCCGGGCGACTCATGGGCATGTTCCCGAACAAGTGGGAGGTGGATCGGGAGAAGTGGAGCAACTAGACGGGGAGAAATGCGTGGAGTAATGAGGAGAAGAGCAACAAGCAGATTAGATGCTGAATGTGCAGGAAAGTGGAGTGTTCTTTCTGGGCTGATGGGTGGTTCATGTATGGATGCATATTAAACTGCAATGAAGACCTACCATACCGTACCATACCGTGATCTCCCGCCTAGAAGACCCGGGGGTCTTATCCTAAATGTGTTGGAAATAGGTTGTGGGGTCTTATGTAATGACATGAAGTGCATAAGACCCCTGGACATCTATTTGTTACACAAATATTGAATTTGTGGTAGTGTACAGGGAATTTGGTTTTTTCATACCCATCGAATTCGAGTCTGCCTGTAAGCGAGGAGTCAAATTGCCATTTTCGTGCCACCACGACGCATGCCACACGTCACACATTCACGCATGACGGCGGCAAAACCTGCCAGTGCTGGCGCCGCGCCACTAGTCTTGATTGGTTTCGTGGCCACACAGCCATCACCTCATCGGGTTCGGTGCATCTGGTGGGGTGATGGGTTTGTGATCGTTCCACCGTGCACTGCTGGATTGCAAGCGCCTCGGAGAACGTGCTCTCACCCCAGTCACGTCCCTCTCCTCCCCGGCTTCTGAGGGAGGTAGTCCGAGTCGAGGAGGCTCATTTTCATTTTTTTTCCTGGAGTTGAAAACCTCCTCCCGTTTCTCTCAGCCACCATGTTCCTACCCAGTAGCTTAGGCTGTTCTCCCGTACACGCGCAGTCATGTGTGCACTGGACATGCTGATGAAGATGCGGGCTGTCAGTGCAGCCCGCGGCCTTGCAGCCATGGCGAACGCACCCCCAGCTCCACCTGCCCCGCCGGCTCCTCCGGCACCACCTTCTCCGCCTGCTCCTCCCGCACCTCCTGCTCCGCCGTCGCCTCCCGTGCCCCCTTTCCCTTACCCCTTCGAACTTGTGAACGGCGAAGAGGAGCTTGTTGGGCAGATGGAGCCTGACGCGTCTTCAACCGATGACGAGGGGAGTGACGGCGCCGCAGCGACCGGTGAAAACCCTACCTTTCCTCTTCCCCAGTTCCCCACTGATGTGCTGCGCGATGTCGACCCTGCCGCTGTCTCTCGTGATGCTGTTACCCCCAATTCCCGGAATATGGTTAACCAGCACAAGCGCCACGCTCGCACCATGGCAGAGAAGACTGGTTGGCTTGTGAGGATGAAGGATGACATTCTCACGGTGCGCGAAACTGCACGGCTGGCTGGCGTTCAACCAGTGAGCATCCGCCGTTGGAAGAAGGCGGCAGAAGAGATGGCGGCGGCGGCAGGCAGTCGTCTGCGGATTTCTGGTGGCGGACGGCAAGCTCGCTACCCTGACATGGAACTGTCCGTGTACAATCAGTTCCTCGCCCACAGGTCACGGGGATTGGCGGTCCCGATTAAGCTGCTGCAGACATGGAGCCGGATTTCGATGAAGCTCCGGCACCCTCAGGTCGACTGGCGCGCGTCTCCTCGCTGGACGGTCAGATTTCGCAAGCGGTGGGGCCTCACTGTACGGGTAAAGACTATCGGGCAGCGTCTGACGAAAGGTACGTTCAATTCGTACGCGGAGAGTTGGTTTAATAATAACTTTCTAACACTGCCGTTTGTTCTTTACTCTTTGTCTACCTGCAGATTGCAAGCCGAAGTGTGAAAGCTTCTGGGAGTTCTGCAGGAGGCAATTGGTCCGCGATGGCATCGACCCTTGGAATGTTATCAACGCCGACAAGACGCCGGTGTTCCTCGAGATGCCGCACGAGAGGACGTTGGCGCACCGCGGCGAGCGCGCGGTTCACATTCGGAGCGCCGGCTATGAGAAACAGCGCATGACTGTGATGCTGGCGGTCACGGGGACGGGGGTGAAGCTGCCGCCGATGGTGATATTCAAGCGGAAGACCATCCCCAACATCAGGGTCCCGCCAGGTGAGTTGCTGCACCTGTCTCGTGTAAACGCATCGTTTGTACTTGTGCATGATTGCCACCGTTCTGACCGTTTCCTTGTTTCTATGTGCAGGCATGCTAATCCGAGCGCAAGAACGTGGCTGGATGGATTCTAGCCTCGTCCTGGATTGGGTGCAGACTGTGCTGCTACCTCACACGCGCCCCCGCCCAGGCATCAATCGCAGCAAGACACTGCTCGTACTGGACTCGTACCGTGGGCATCTGACGGACAGCGTACGGGGGACGCTACGCTGGCATCGCATCACGCCTGCGATAATCCCTGGCGGCTGCACGCCTCTGCTGCAGCCGTTGGACGCAAGCATTAATCGCTCGTTCAAGGCCGGTGTTCGGCAGATGTATAACGATTGGTTTGCCGATCATGGCATCAACACCCTCACCCCCGCCGGTAAGCCCATAACTCCTTGTTTGGCCCCCTCTACCGGCAATTTCCTTCCCGTATTCTCACGCTCAACGTCCCTGAGGACCTCATTATCAGGTCATTCAAGACCTGCGGCATCACCAACACCCCCGATGGGCGCGAGGATTTGATTCTCGCGCACATGCGCGATGGGGCTCAAGTGGAGGTGCACGACGACGTGCACGCGGCGGGGGAGGTTGAGGAGTGGATCAACCCCATGTACGCCACTGCCGCGGAGGAGGCCGCGGAGGAGGAGGAGGAGGAGGAGGAGGAGGAGGAGGAGGAGGAGGAGGAGGAGGAGGAGGTGGATGAGGAGGCACCTGTGGAGGAGGAGGAAGCTATGGAGGAGGAGGACGGCGAGGACAGCGAGGAGGAGTAGACAGATGCTGGAGTAGGTAGTCTAGTGATTGTATGCGCTGGCTGGCGGTAATTTGTTGGTATTGTAGTCTCTAACCATTTGACCCTGGGTAGTAGAGTTATAATGAAGTGTAGCCTGTAAATGTGGCTAAAAATAATGCTAGAATGTTATAAAAAACCAGAGATTGGGGAAGAAGGGGGGTCTTATAATGAATTGGGTCAAATGGCGGGTCCTCTCCAGGTCTGACTTAATAAAAGACCCCTGGTCCGGATAGAAGACCCACGGGGCTTTTATGCGGGGGGGTCTTGTAACCGGGAGATCACGGTATGTCAGAATCTAGCGAGCAGGAATGAGTTGACTAGGAATGAAGGAGAAAGCATGAAACCCTAATGGGTTATCACCTCTATGGTGTACCCCAGTATAGCCTACAGTAACATATGTGCATACTTTGACACACCCCCATAGGCGAAGTGGGGAACAACAAGCGTTCACAAGACCAGTCAAGAGAAGCAAACAAGGCAAAGCTTAAGGTGGATCTCAAGATCACCACGCAGTCCGAGCACAAGCAAGCGGCCACAAGGCCTGTTCACATGCAAGATCACTACCTAGCAAGTGTAAACATGCAGGTATACAGATATATAGCAGTGTACAGCAAGGGCAAAGCTAGATCAAGAAACAAGCAAGTGAGGTAGAGTGGGCACAAGCCCAAGAGCAATGCAGAAACGCTGCTGATCCCCAAACCCGAGTGCCTTGGTGAAGATATCAGCAGTGTTGGCCTGTGAGGCCACGTAAGCAAGGCGAAGCTGACCACGCTGCTGCAGCTCTCGTGCGAGAAAGTAACGAAGGGAAATGTGCTTCGTTCAGTGCTCCAGCCTCTGCTCCCGACACAACGCAATCACGGCTTTGTTGTCGACGTACAGAACTGGAGGAGAACGAGGCCGCTCACCCAAGTTAGTCAGCAAGTAGATCAGCTAGCGTAACTCCTGTGCAGCCATAGCCCCAGCGTAGATCTCTGACTCACAGCTAGAACTAAGTACAGAAGACGAGCGGGTCGACCTCCAGTAGATAGAACCAGCGCCAAGACTGAAAGTGTAACCCAGTGACGGCCGCTGGGTCTCCTGGTCGTCAGCCTAAAAAGCGTCAGAGTGCCCAGTGAGTACTACTCGACCCCGTCCTCCAAGCACAAGCCCCATGCCTGATGTACTGCACAAGTAACGCAGTACCCTCTGCGCAACTGTCCAGTGCTCCTTCCTGTGTCTCCCCGGCGCAAAGAAGTGAGCAAGGATGCTGAGAGGGTACGCAAGGTCACGGCTTGTGCCCGTCATCAAGTACATGAGGTAGCCCACAAGCTCTGGATACGGGCCACTCGGCTCTACAGACTCCTCCGAAGGTGGAGCTGAGAGTGAGTGGCTCGTAGGCAGAGGAGTGCGCTGTGGCGAAGCGCTGAAGGACATGCTGCACCATGTGTGACTGAATCAGAGTGATGGTGAGCCTTGCTCTGTCCCGAGTGATCTGCAAGCCAAGATATCTGCGCAGCTCACCCAAATCAGTGCAAGTGGGTCTCTTCTGCAACTCCGTCTTCACAAGGGTCAGTGCTTCAGTGTCCGCAGTAGCAAAAACCAAGTCATCGACGTACACGAGGATGTAGAACAGCGACAGAGAAGTGTCGGTGCGCAGAAACAGCGACGGGTCAGCAGTCGAAGGAGCAAAGCCAAGTGCCGCAAGTGTAGTCCTCAGTGTATTGTGCCACTTGCGCAGCGCCTGGCGGAGATTGTAGATTGGCCACCGGAGGCTCCACTTGGTACCCTCAGGAAACGACCCAGTGAAGCCAGGTGGGCGGCGTAGCCAGATCTCCTCGTGAAGGCTGCCCTGCAAGAAAGCTGTGTTGAAGTCAAGCGAGTGGAGCTTGTAGTTACACTGTGTTGCAACGTGCAGTAACACCCGAAGAGTGGTTATCTTAGGGGTGGGGGAGAAGGTCTGGAAGAAGTCGACTCCCTATCTCTGACTGAAGCCTCGTGCAACGTAACGCGCCTTGAAGGCAGGCGGAGAACCCGGCGGCTGCTTCACTATGAAAATCCACATGACATCGACTATGTTCGCCCCAGGAGGAGGAACCTCGTCGACATAGGTGCATGTGGACTTCCATGAAGCTATCTTTGCATCCATGGCTGTCTGCCACTGAGAGGAGTACTCACCCGCGATCGCCTCAGCGTAAGTGCGCAGGGTAGGGATGTCAAGTGCATCCGGGTCTCCCTCAGGGCAAAGCAGCCTGGATGCGAAACGAGGTAAAGCGGTCGCAAGACACGCAAGCTCAAACTGCCTGTCCTCAAGGACGTCTCTGCCAAGGGGATGGAGGACAGACAGACTCAGACTCAGTAACAAGACTCTTGACGTAGTCGAGACGACTCATAGCAGCAAAGTCGACTAGCTCAGTCAGGGTCAGTGACGACAGTAGCGAGGAGACGAGTGACAGTAGGACGGGCAGCACGAGCAAGGTCGGACTCAGGGTCAGGAACGTCAAGAAGAGAGGACGCCGGAGGAGACGGCATGGCAATACGCTGTGGAATAGAGGAAGGACGAAGTGCCATAATGTGAGTGACAGGGACAGCAGGAGGACGAGGACGGACGACACGACGAGCACGAACATGTATGGGAGCACGAGTCTCAGGCTCACGATGCTCAGTCAGGGACCCAGTCACCTCAGTGTGAGGATCAGGAGCAGGCAGCGAGGAGCCAGGCAGTAGCTTTGGCTGAGACTGGTCTGTCGGTTGACACAAGAGAGGTGGAGTGAGGCCAGTGGAAGACGGGAGACTAAGAACTTGGTGAAGGACCAAGTCAGGCGGCGGCAGGGACGACTGCGGCTGCGGGTAGAAAAACGGTCGGCGCCGGGCAGTACCCATACCGTCAGCAGCTCCAGCACCTCCAGTACCTCCAGCTCCAGCACCTCCAGCACCTCCAGCGCCAGCAGCACCAGCACCTCCAGTAGCACCTCCAGCACCAGCAACAACACCATCTCCGGCAGCTCCAGCACCTCTAGTACGAGCACCTCCTGGACCAGCACCTCCAGCACCTCCAGTACCTCCAGTACCTCCAGCTTCAGCGCCTCTAGCACCAGCAGCACCTCCAGAACCTCCAGCACCAGCAGCACCTCCAGAACCTCCAGCACCAGCACCCCTAGTGCCAGCAGCTCCAGCACCTCCCGCACCTCCAGTACCTCCAGCACCTCCAGCTCCAGCAACACCAGCACCTCCAGCACCAGCAGCTCCAGCACCGCCAGCACCTCCAGTACCAGCAGCTCGAGGAGCTGTAAAACTCCAAGCTCCAGCACCAGAGCAGCCTCGCCGAACGACCTACTCACGAAGCTGCTGCGGTGAGGGCGTCTCGAGTCGACTAGGCGGTTGCTGCTGCCCAACGCCAGGACCTGCAGCAGGAGCACCCACGGCCCCACCACCACTAGGACTCGCAGCACCCCCAGAGTCAGCACCCCCAGATTCAGCACCCCCAGAACCCTCACCCCTAGTCTCAGCACCCCCAGGACCAGCACCCCCAGTCTCAGCACCCCCAGTCTCAGCACCCCTAGGACCAGCACCCCCTGCGTCCTCACCTCCAGTGTCACCACCCCCAGCAGCACCATTGTCCACAGCTACAGGCTGCAGAGGCGGAAAAGACGGTCGAGGCGGAAAACCAGGAGGGGTCTCCAAGCGTGGAGAGCGACGAGTGGTCGTTGTGTCGTCAGCAGTGGGGTCACCCCCCTCAGCTGGGCCAGAGGTATCAGAGGAAATCACCAAAGGCTCAACCAAGGGGGGTGGGTCTACCTGAGACACACCTGAGGGAGCAGGACCCTGTGGGGGGAGGGGGTCTACCGGGGGGGAACTGGTACCAGGAAGAGAGGCGCCAGGGGAACCGGGTGGGACGCATGCGGGTGGAGCCTGTAGAAACAGACAGACTCGTCAAAGGTGACGTCCTGGGAGGACAGGACTCGACGCGAGCGAGGGTGGTAAAACTGCCACGGCGGGGCGTCGGTGGGGAAGCCCAGGAAGGCGCAGCGGAGACTGCGAGGAGAGAGCTTGCTCGCGGTGGCATCGCGAACAAGGGAGAGCGCGCCCCAGACCCGAAACGCCGTCGCATCGCCAACCTCTCCCGTCCAACGGAGTGTGGGCAAGGTCTCTAGCAAAGAGACACGGGGCCAAAGGTTGAGCTGATGTGCAGCGTATCGGACCGCAAACAGCCGCAGAAAATGGGGAGCAGCCGCATGGATCATGGAGGTACGAGCAACCTCCATGATCAAGCCAATGCGACGCTCAGCAATCCGATTTTGCTACGGAGAGGCCGGAAGCGTGAACGATTGGACGATGCCCTCTTCTCTATAGAACTCCGCAAGGAGATTGGAAGAGAAATCACCGCCCCTGTCAGAGTGCAGACGCAGGACTGGAAGGTCCCCCCGAAACCGCTCGTGCAGCTGGTGACGAGTAGCGCGGATCCAGGGGATCAAAACGACCAGCAGGAAGTAGCGCTCCTAGTCCGTCCCACGGACGGGGGTCGGGCTCCACATGTCCACGTGGAGAGTCTGCTGAGGAGCAGTGGTCGGAGTAAACTCGAAGGAGTGAGGAGCCGCGCGCAGCCGCCCCTCGACGCAGGGAAGGCACGGCGGGGCAAGCGAGCGCGGGAGAGGGGGCAGCGACCTGGGAAGGCCAGAGACAAGGAGACGAGAGTGCATGATGCATAGACGCGGCAGGGAGGGGTGACCGAGGCGGTGGTGCCAGAGGAGAGTCTGGTGGGAGAGTACCCGAAACGAGCACGACGCAGCGAGCTGACCAGACGCAGACACCTGAATCGACGCAGCAACCAGACCTGACGCAACCACCTGTGCAGACGCAGTGGTCAAGGTGTACAGACTGGACCCAGGCTGCCGAGTGAACGTAGCAAGGTGACGGCCAGTCCGGGAGCACGTACAGATCGCCACACGCTGCCCTCCAGGAGTATAGGTATCAACCCATACATCCTGAAGGACTGCGTTGCTCACCAAGTTCGTCGAGAATGAGGGGAGGTGGAAAGAGAGCCGGAGGGGACTTCTGGACACAGGAGGACAGTGGAGACTCGTGCGACGACGGGGCCAACAGAGGGGTCAGCCAGTGAGATCGGGACTGGTGCAGCGAGCGGTGTGACGGTGGTGCAATCACGAAAGAAGCAACGAGACGCACCAGAGTCAAGTGTGAAAGTGTCAAGGCCTCAGCTGAGGCAGCAGCCTCACTAGCACCTGTGGCAGCAGACTCACTAGCACCTGTGGCAACTGACGCACTAGCACCTAGAGCGGCTGCAGACTCACTAGCACCTAGAGCGGCAGCAGACTCACTAGCAGCGCAAGGCACACACGAGTAACAGGTACCCTCAGCACTAATAACATCAACATACATAGCATAGAGTCCCTTGTTGATAACAGCAAAGTCAAGAGCAAACATATCTACTCCCTTTGCTATCAATCCCAGCCAATAGGGGATCTCATGCTCATCACTGTACTCAGCCACCCAGGCATCCTCAAGACGACCAAAGCAGCGATACTCAGTGTGCCCAGGGTCCCCGCAGGTCTGACCCTTCTTGAGCCCCGTGCGCCTGACATACGTGCAGCGACCAGAGTCCCCAAGGGAACCACGCTGAACAACCAACTCACGAAGCTGCTGAGGGGTGGGTGTGTCCGAGAGGCGTGGCAGCAGCGGTCCACTCCCATAGCCTCCGCCGCCACGAGCTGCGCCCCCAGAGCCTCCACCCCTGCCAGCTCCACCCCGCCCGCCTCCACCACCCCCGCCGCCTCCACCACCCCCGCCACCTCCACCGCCTCCACCTCCGGTGCCACCTCCACCGCCTCCACCCCCGCTACCACCACCCCCGCTACCACCACCGCTAGCGCCACCCCCACCTCCCTTACCCCCCTCACCCTTGCCGCTGCAGCGTTTATCACCAGGAGCAGACGCAGCGCCGAATTCCTCAGCACCAAGGAGGTCGACAGCAGCAGCAGTGGCAACTGAGGGTATGAGAGGGGAGGGAGCACACCCTTCAAAGAAGGGGGAGCGGGGAGTGCCACGAGAGGCAACGACAGCGACAGTGTTGGTCTTCGCCTCGAGAAGGTACTTGTCCAGCGAGGCAAGCGTGATCTTAGTGGGGTCAAGGGCGAGAAAGTGGTCCCTAACTGTGCGGAGGGAGTCCGAGAGGCGGGTGACAAGGAAGTACAGGGTGATATAAAGCGGGGGGGGGTTTCTTTGAGGAAGGCCGGCTTGAGAGCGGCGCGGTAGCGAGTCTCACTGGAGCGAAGGTGGGTCATGAGATCAGCATTAGTGCGGAAATCTGGGAGCTCAGGAAAGAGGTACGGCAGAATGAGGCGGCCTAGGGCAGCAGTAGCTGGGGAGGAGTAACGAGCGAGTGCGTCATAGAGAGTGGCCATAGTGGCAGGAGCAGCAGCAGCAGCAGTGGTGCCAGCAGTAGCAGTAGCAGCAGCAATAGCAGTAACAGTAGCAGCAGCAGCAGCAGCAGCAGAAGCAGCAGCAGCAGCAGTAGTAGCAGCAGAAGAAGAAGCAGCAGCACCAGCAGCAGCAGCAGCAGCAGCAGCAGAAGCAGCAGCAAGGCAGTGCGGCTCGGTAGGGGCAGGGCAGCGCGGCTCGGGCAGGACGGCGCACGGCGCGGCTCAGCAGGGCACAGCGCAGCAGCGCGTGCGGCAGCAGCAGCTCAGACACAGCAGCAGCAGTAGCAGCGCAGCGCGGTTGGCAGCAGCTGCGCAACAGCAGCAGCGTCAGCAGCAGCGCGTGCAGCAGCAGCAGCTCAGGCGCAGCAGCAGCTCAGGCGCAGCAGCGCAGCAGCAGCAACACGGTTGGCAGCAGCTGCGCAGCAGCAGCAGCGTACGCAGCAGTAGCAGCAGCGCGTGCGGGTAGGGGCGCTCGCAGGCAGGCAGCACGCGCTCAGGCAGGGGTCTCGCGCAGGTAGCAGCGCGGGCAGGCAGCGCGTGCGCGCAGGCAACGCTCGCGAGCAAGCAGCGCTCGCGGGTAGGCAGCGCGTGCGCGGGCAAGGCAGCGCGCGCGCGCGACAGGCAGCGCGCTAGCAGGCAGGAAACGCGCGTGCAGCAGGCAGCGCGTTAGGGCAGGCAGCGCGCATGGCAACAGGGCAGCGAGACGCTGTACGGGCAGGGCAAGGCAGCGCAAGGGCGCTCCAGGCAGGTTCTAGCAAATCGATTTGGTGGGCCCTAAAAAAATCTAACCGTGTTCCTGCTCTGATACCATGTCGAGAGAACTGTGCAGGAATGGTGAATGACTAGCAACAGGGAGATACAAGTATGAAACCCTAACTGGGGTTGTACTCTATACTGAGCACCTCACTGTAGCCTAGCAGAACTAAGAACATACAAATATGTTTTGACTCACCCCTCTAGGCAAAGTGAGGGATAGCCAACACAACAAACGGTCACAAGACCAGTCAGGCAAGAGAACAAAGCAATGCAAAGCCCATGGTGGATCTCAAGATCACCATGTCTCACATTTTTACAATCGCTCAAGTTCATTGCCAGAGTTCCACCTTTCACCCATCCCAATTTTTTCGGACCTCCAATCTGGCGAGGTTGAAAACTTTTCATCGCTTCCAAGCTCCCTCCACGCTGTTGTCCGATATTTTCAACTACAACCAGAGCGATTAATCTGCCTTTTTTTTTTTTGGCCATGCAAGGCTCACTCTCAGTCAAACCACCATCGTACACCACCATACGCATTTGGTGCAAGGAAGTGTTCCACGCCATCGGCCTCGGCGACCATGCTCTCGGTACTCACTCTTTTCGCAAAGGAGCGGCAACTGTAGCAGCCAATGCAGGAATCGAGGATCGACTCATCAAACAACTAGGCCGATGGCGCAGTGAAGAGACCAATGGAATGTATGTCACACCCGCAGCCGATCGATTGATTTACACCTCTCGCAACCTCCAATGGACGGCTCATGCGCCATCCCCAACACAACATTATAGGGTTTTCAAGCGCCACCGTCAGACACCCTTGCACATCACTCGTAGCCCATTATAAAGAGAACAATGCCAATTGCTAAAGAAGCAAGCTTTCTCAATTACCAAATACAAAAGTATGGCATCCAATCCGAGTTATTACAACTCATGAAAAAAGCAACTCCCTTCCATCTCGCCTACTCGCACACCATCTCATCTGTCCCTCGCACACAGAAAAAATCCTATCGCCACTGGAAGTTGAGGTTGCGGAGGGCATAGGCGAAAACATAGAAGAAGAGGCAGGACAAGCCGAGCAGAGCAAGAGCAGCATAGCCCACCCAATCGTAGGAGAAGCCGTAGTATAGCTGGATGAATTGCGATACAGTCTGAGCTGGCATGCCTGGTGGACTGACCACCAGCGTCGTTACATCTCCCAACTGTAACGCAACCAGAGATGAAACGAGGAACAAGTGGCGAGAAAATTGGGAGCGTAAGGTACCGGCTGGAAGAAGAGCAGGAGGAGCGAAATAAGAAGGTAATGCAGGTTTAGAGGGTATACCTGGGAAGCAGCAAGGCCGTAGAGGGTCCATGCGACAGGGTTGATCCAATACAGCCATATCCAGTACACCGGGATTTTCTGTTGAGTGTGGGGGGTGGAGAAATAAGCAGGGCAGGAGGAAAGGGGGAGGGGGCCAGTTAACAGGGTTGATCCAATACAGCCAATCCGTTCCAGTACAAATTTAGACTTGTGTTGACCAGCAAGCCACATGCCATGCGCATGCTTTCATGGGTACTCCATGGCAATCTCACGCCACTGCCACTCGAGAAAAGAGAGCTCAGACCAATGAGCATTGCACTCACCGGCTGTGGTAGGAGGAAGCCACAGAGAAGGTTCCAGATGGAGTAGATGAAGGCAGACATAAGCATTCCCAGCCCTTCAGCGGGCGTGATGGCACTCGTCATCATGCCGAAAAACGTGAAGTGGAGCAGCGTGAGGAACTGGAACAGCAGGTACAGCAGGAACTTCCCGAGCGTCCACTCGAACCGAATCATCGAGTATGTCAATAACGAGTACACCACAGCCTGAACCAGCAGGTATGGCAGCTCAATCGCTCCTTGCGCGAGCGCGTACGGGATCGCTCCGTACATCCCGGCTCCGCGCTCCCGGTAATAAATACTCCTTTCCACGGCCAGCATTGGCTGGATCGATCCGAGATTGCTCCACCCGAGGAAGAGTGCAGCCGTGTAAAGCGCCCCCATGACATTCACAATCTGCTGCGGGGTCTCCCGGGTGTTTCCGAAGCCGAAGAAGACGCCTCCGATGAGGAGAGCCATGATGAAAGAGTAGTAGAAGCGCGCACCGTTGTAGTCGGGCATGCGCCAGTACATGAGGTGCCGCTTCCACACGTGCGTGGCGAACTGGGAGAGCGGCGTGGTGGGGTGCTGCGTTGGGAAGAACAGGTCCGGCTCGCCTTCAGGAGGCTCACTGGATTCTTGGATCAGCGACTCTATGGTCCTGTGGGTTCACAGGGGTAAGGGAGAGCAGAGCAAAGGGAGGAAAAAGCGTAAGGGAGGAGTGATTGGGGATGTTGGGTGAGGGGAGGAGGAGGAGAAGAAGAAGGCGCCGTTGTACTCGGGCATGTGCTTTGAGGCACCTCAAAAGGCGCTGTTGTAGTCGGGCATGCGCTTTGAGGCACCTCAAAAGGCGCTGTTGTAGTCGGGCATGCGCTTTGAGGCACCTCAAAAGGCGCTGTTGTAGTCGGGCATGCGCTTTGAGGCACCTCAAAAGGCGCTGTTGTAGTCGGGCATGCGCTTTGAGGCACCTCAAAAGGCGCTGTTGTAGTCGGGCATGCGCTTTGAGGCACCTCAAAAGGCGCTGTTGTAGTCGGGCATGCGCTTTGAGGCACCTCAAAAGGCGCTGTTGTAGTCGGGCATGCGCTTTGAGGCACCTCAAAAGGCGCTGTTGTAGTCGGGCATGCGCTTTGAGGCACCTCAAAAGGCGCTGTTGTAGTCGGGCATGCGCTTTGAGGCACCTCAAAAGGCGCTGTTGTAGTCGGGCATGCGCTTTGAGGCACCTCAAAAGGCGCTGTTGTAGTCGGGCATGCGCTTTGAGGCACCTCAAAAGGCGCTGTTGTAGTCGGGCATGCGCCGGTACATGAGGTGGCGCTTCCACATGTGCGTGGCGAACTGGGAAAGGGGTGTTGTCGGGTGCTGCGTTGGGAAGAACAGGTCCGGCTCGCCTTCAGGAGGCACGCTGGACTCCTGAATCAGCGACTCTATGGCCCTGCGGGTGAGCGGGACAAGGGTGTGAAGAGGTTAAGGGAGAGAAGAGGGTAAGGGAGAGAAGACGGGTAAGCTAGCGGAACTGGGCGAAGGGCGTTGTGAAATTACTGGGTCAGGAAGAAATGCTGAGCTCATTGGGACTCTATTCTGTTCTTACCTAAGCATGCTTACCTACAAGCAACAAAAAAGAGGCTAAGAGACACTGCTGTTCTCTCAAAGAACAGGGTTTCGGGTTTAGGGTCCCCAATGCCCACATGACCTAAACCCCAAACCTTAAAGCCAGGGTCTCACGTAAGCAAAACAGGCATCAACTGCAAAACAGTTGAAGCTAGGTTACCTCGTTAGTGCAGACGAAGTTCTCTCTGGTTGGGTTGGAAACTCACCCCCGTCAGTGCCCCAGAAGCAATTGCAAAACAAGTTTTGGGTACATGAGACTTTCGATGAGTTAGGGGTATTTTTGGTTTGGCTCCGAACCAAATTTCCAATCCTAGAAGTTTCGGGTACACCCAGCGATTCGCGTTCGCTTCGCACCCCACGCTTGACCCCTCTTCAAACCTTACACCTCGCCAACCAATCACAGCCAAACTTTCACCATCAACTGCAAAACACTTGTAGTACGTGAGACCCTGGCTTTAAACCCGAAACTGTAAACCTTAAACCTCTGCTGTTTTCACCTGAACTGGTCGGACTGGCGGAAGAGGTGGGCAAAGTCGAGTCCGAGCCGCTCTGCTGCTGCTGGCGCCGTGACCTCGAGCATCCACGCTGCTGGGTTGGCGCCGGGCTGGATGGGCGGCACCCCTGGGATGGCCTGATTGCGAAAAGGGTGGGTGGTTGGGGGAATAGGGGTCAGGGGGGAGCAGGAGGTCGTCTCTTGAGGCGCCTCAACTCAATACCACAACTGAGCATTACCTCGAAGTATCGAACGAGGTCGTCTCTTGAGGCGCCTCAACTCAATACCACAACTGAGCATTACCTCGAAGTATCGAACGAGGTCGTCTCTTGAGGCGCCTCAACTCAATACCACAACTGAGCATTACCTCGAAGTATCGAACGAGGTCGTCTCTTGAGGCGCCTCAACTCAATACCACAACTAAGCATTACCTCGAAGTATCGAACGAGGTCGTCTCTTGAGGCGCCTCAACTCAATACCACAACTGAGCATTACCTCGAAGTATCGAACGAGGTCGTCTCTTGAGGCGCCTCAACTCAATACCACAACTGAGCATTACCTCGAAGTATCGAACGAGGTCGTCTCTTGAGGCGCCTCAACTCAATACCACAACTAAGCATTACCTCGAAGTATCGAACGAGGTCGTCTCTTGAGGCGCCTCAACTCAATACCACAACTGAGCATTACCTCGAAGTATCGAACGAGGTCGTCTCTTGAGGCGCCTCAACTCAATACCACAACTGAGCATTACCTCGAAGTATCGAACGAGGTCGCATGACTGTGTCCCCAACGACCCTGCGTAGATGACCTCTCCTCCCCGCTGCATCAGCAGCAGCTGCAAGGCGGTGGGAGGCAGAAGGTGGGTAGGAGGTGGGTAGGAGGTGGGTGGGAAGGTGGGTGGGAGGGTGGTGGGAAGATAGGGCAATGAGCGAGAGTGAGTTCTCAACGACCCTGCATGGATGGCCTCTTCCACCCGCTGCATCAGCAGCGGCTGCAAGGTGAGTGAGTGGTGTGAAATGATGTGAGATCGCGTGAGATCGAACGATGAACATCCAAGGCCGCCCATGCAACGACACTTTCGCACATCCCCTGGAATGACCAAGAGTTCCAACTTAGGTTCTGAGACGTGTAAAAACTGAATCAATGCCTTAAATTATTCTGTTTTTCTGTACAGTGCAATATACGCACATATGTGCACACGGCTGTTCACTCATCAAAGGCCTCAAAGATGTGGATGGACGGCTGGTGGATGGTGCACACACTGTGCAACCCCATGCCTTCCTAGTATACACTTACACAAATGCACATTATTTCTTTCTGCGAACCTCGTCCAAGGCCTCGAAGATGTCGATGGACAGTTGGTGGATGGCGCATACCACTGTGCAAACACATATCTGTATGTGTGTAATAATAGTATTAATAATGATAATAACAGTAATAATAATAGTAGTAACAATCTTACCTCGTCAAAGGCCTCAAAAATGTCGATGGACGGCTGGTGGATGGTGCACACGACTGTGCGACCCGTGTTCACTGTGTTGCGCACCGCCCTCATCACTATGGCCGCTGCCCTCGCATCCAGGCCTGCTCAAGATGTGAGGGGAGAGTAAGGAGAGAGAAAAATGTGTGAGGAAGAGGAAAACAGGTAAGGGAGAACGGTGCGTAAGCAGGGAGCGAGCGGATGGGGAGAAGGGAAGGAGGCTGCTTCCCAGTCCTTCAGCCCATGCTGCCGGCTGAGGGGGAGGTATGACCTGATGGGCAGGCGTTGACTGAGGGGGAGGTGTTACCTGAGAAAGAGGTGTTACCTGATGAGAAATGTTACCTGAGCTGGGTTTGTCCATAATAATAATGTTGGTGGAGCATTTGGATCGTTCCCAGGTGAGTGTGGAATAGCCACAGATGTGTCCTAATGGGTTATGGGTGTGTTACCCACCTTCAAACATGCCTTTCTAACCCAATCGGTAGTAGACTGGGCCAACAAGTGGTATCAAAGCCAAAGGTCTCGGGTTCGAGTCCCAGTGTGCGCAAAGTGAGCGCCAGTGCCCTAACAAGCCCCATGTGAAGAGATTGTTGGTGGGGCACTGGGATGTCAGAAGACCAGCACTGAGGATGCCCGATTGATCCAAGAGGAGGGTTACAGGCTTTCGACCTTGCGGTGATATTTGCGCACTGAAACGCTACTTAATGAGCCTGGGATTCTGACATGGGATTGTTCCCAGTTGAGTGCGGAAGGGCTACAGGTGCGTCCTAGGGTGTTACGGGTGTGCTACCCACCATACAAGCATGCCCTTTTAACCCAGTCGGTAGCAAGTTGGGCAAGCAGATAATGGAGGTGTTAGATGAGGTGGGTTCATCCATGAAGATGATGGCGGGGTTGGCTACAGCTTGCCTGAACCAGGTGCTATGCACATTGAGGGGAGGCATCACCTGAGGTGGGTTCATCCATGAAGATGATGGCGGGGTTGGCTACGAGCTCCACTGCCATGGTCAGCCGCTTCCTCTGCTCCACCGACAGCCCGTCCTGCCCTGCCGTTCCCACCACCGCCCCCTTCACCGGCTCTAATTCCACCAACTCCATCACCTCCTCCACGAATTCCTGTTGGATTGCCAACACCGGGGTGGGGAAGAGGGGGGATTGTCTCACGCTAGTGCGCCCTTCACTACCTCTAAATTCAATTGCATCACGTCCTCCACGAATTCTTGGGAAGAGGGGAGATGGGGGTAGGGGAGTGGGGAGATGGGTATAAGTGTGTTAAAAAGAATGGGGAAGACTCCTACAATCCCTTCATCCCCTCCACCAGCTCCACCAGCTTTTGAGGCATTGCGGAACTGAGGTAATGAGACGACTTTTGTTGTGGTAATGAGACGACTTTTGAGGCGTCTCACATTTGCGGGTATTGAGGCAACTTTTGGCCACTACCATTGACTCACATATCTCCATTCACCCATATAATCACATCTCTCCATTCACCCCTCCACTCACCATTCTCACATATATCCACTCACCAGTATCACATCTCGGTCAATCTCCTCAGGCAGGCGCAGCCAGGCGGAGTAGAGGAGAGACTCGTGCACGGTCACCTGGGGCGTGTGAATATCCACCTGCTCACAATACCCCGACACCCTCAGAAACGTCTCCTGCACTTTCGGGTACCCGGAAACGCGGATGTCCCCTTCAATGTACCCCCCGGTCTTCCTCCCTGCCAGCACGTCCATTAGCGTGGTCTTCCCTGCCCCAGATACTCCCATCAGGGCAGTCAGCACTCCGGGACGAAACACGCTGGACACGTTGTGCAGCAGCTGCAGGCGCTGGCCGGGCGGCGCGGCCTTGTCTTTTAGCTCGGCGGGCATGTCGACATAGTAGTTGACGTTGTGGAAGGAGAGGGTGAGCGGATAAAAGGGGAGGACCATGCCGTGCAGCCCTATATCCCCTCCACTCGCAGTCATTTCCCCACGACTGGACAGATCACCTGGCCTTATCGTGAACATCGTCGTGTTTCATATCAGGATCAGAAGAACCATCGGTCTTTTTGTCTTTTGTGATGTTTGCTGTAATCTCCCATGCACCGTCACTCGCATCCCCATCGCTCAGAAACGAAACTGCTGTCTTCTGAGGCTGCTTCTCCTTCCCTCCTCCTCCTGTGCTGTTACCTCCTGCACTCACACCCCCAAAATCACTTGCATCCCCATTGCTCAAGAACGAAACTGCTTTCCTCTGAGACTGCTTCTCCTTCCCTCCTCCTGTGCCACTACCTGCACTCGCCCCCCCACCATCACTTGCAGCATCCCCATCGCTCAGAAACGAAACTCCTTTCCTCTGCCGCTGCTTCTCACCCCTGGCGCCTTGGCTAACTGCACTTGCTCCTCCCATACCCACAACAGTCACATCCCCAACAGCAGCAACTGAAGCAGCAGCAGCACCACCACCAGCAATACCAGATGCTCTCCAAGACTTGGCCCCTTGGATGCTCCTTGAGGCAGGGGAAGCCGCCCCGTTTTCCCCCTCTTCCCCCTCTTCCCCCCTCTTGCTGCCCCAAAACGACCCCATACGGCTTGAACTGTGCCTAGACCCCTCCGCACTCATTGAGCTGCCCTTAATCCCCAAGCCCCTCCTATGCCTGGTATAAGCCCCTTCCAAATCTCCCGCTCCCTCTCCCCTTTCCCCTCCCCTTCCCCCTCCTTCCGACCCTCGCGAAGATACAGCTGGGCTACCCGAAGAAAAGCTTTTCATGGAGCGGGCAGAAGGGGAGGGTCTGGCGAGGCTCTTGGAGGAGCGGAAGCGGTTGCTAGCGATGCTTCCCGGGCATCTAGTTGATGCTGGGAGATCACTGGCTGGGCCCTGGGCCAGGCTGGGGAAGGGAAGGGAAGGGAAGGGATGGGGAAAGAGGTGGGATTGGAGATGGGACGAGGAAAAGGGAGAGAGCAAGAGAGGGGTGAATTGGGCTGTCTAGTTGATGCTGGGAGATCACTGGCTGGGCCCTGGGCCAGGCTGGTGGCAGGAGGAGGGGAGGGGAGGGTGGAGGCGGGAAAGAGGAAGAGAGGGCAAGGGAAAAGGTGAGTCGGGACGTCTCGCTGATACTGGGAGATCACTGGCTGGGCCCACTGGGCTGCGCTGGGGGGAGGGCATGAGGGGGGAGGGGTGGAGGGGGGGAGAGATCAGGAAAAGGGTTAGTCAGAACGTCTGTGAGTGTCAGGCTCGTGCTGGAAAGAAAAAGGGAGTGATGGAAGAAAAGGGGAGCGGTTAAAGAGTGGCATGGTGTGGTGGAGTATGGTGTGGGTGTGGTGGAGTAATGTGTCGTAACAAATGGTGTGGGTACGCATGGTTGACAGATTAAGTTCTTTGGCATTGACACAATAAGTGCAAAACTAGAACAGCTACCGGCTAAGTTGAGGTAGTTGAATTGAGGTAGTTGAATTGAGGTAGTTGAATAGAGGTAGTTGAATAGAGGTAGTTGAATAGAGGTAGTTGAATAGAGGTAGTTGAATTGAGGTAGTTGAATTGAGGTAGTTGAATTGAGGTAGTTGAATAGAGGTAGTTGAATTGAGGTAGTTGAATTGAGGTAGTTGAATAGAGGTAGTTGAATAGAGGTAGTTGAATAGAGGTAGTTGAATAGAGGTAGTTGAATAGAGGTAGTTGAATAGAGGTAGTTGAATTGAGGTAGTTGAATAGAGGTAGTTGAATTGAGGTAGTTGAATTGAGGTAGTTGAATAGAGGTAGTTGAATAGAGGTAGTTGAATTGAGGTAGTTGAATAGAGGTAGTTGAATTGAGGTAGTTGAATTGAGGTAGTTGAATTGAGGTAGTTGAATTGAGGTAGTTGAATTGAGGTAGTTGAATTGAGGTAGTTGAATAGAGGTAGTTGAATAGAGGTAGTTGAATAGAGGTAGTTGAATAGAGGTAGTTGAATAGAGGTAGTTGAATTGAGGTAGTTGAATTGAGGTAGTTGAATAGAGGTAGTTGAATTGAGGTAGTTGAATTGAGGTAGTTGAATTGAGGTAGTTGAATAGAGGTAGTTGAATAGAGGTAGTTGAATAGAGGTAGTTGAATAGAGGTAGTTGAATAGAGGTAGTTGAATAGAGGTAGTTGAATTGAGGTAGTTGAATAGAGGTAGTTGAATTGAGGTAGTTGAATTGAGGTAGTTGAATAGAGGTAGTTGAATAGAGGTAGTTGAATTGAGGTAGTTGAATAGAGGTAGTTGAATTGAGGTAGTTGAATTGAGGTAGTTGAATTGAGGTAGTTGAATTGAGGTAGTTGAATTGAGGTAGTTGAATTGAGGTAGTTGAATCGAGGTAGTTGAATAGAGGTAGTTGAATTGAGGTAGTTGAATTGAGGTAGTTGAATTGAGGTAGTTGAATTGAGGTAGTTGAATTGAGGTAGTTGAATTGAGATAGTTGAATTGAGGTAGTTGAATAGAGGTAGTTGAATTGAGGTAGTTGAATTGAGGTAGTTGAATAGAGGTAGTTGAATAGAGGTAGTTGAATTGAGGTAGTTGAATTGAGGTAGTTGAATTGAGGTAGTTGAATTGAGGTAGTTGAATTGAGGTAGTTGAATTGAGGTAGTTGAATTGAGGTAGTTGAATTGAGGTAGTTGAATAGAGGTAGTTGAATAGAGGTAGTTGAATTGAGGTAGTTGAATTGAGATAGTTGAATTGAGGTAGTTGAATAGAGGTAGTTGAATTGAGGTAGTTGAATTGAGGTAGTTGAATAGAGGTAGTTGAATTGAGGTAGTTGAATTGAGGTAGTTGAATTGAGGTAGTTGAATTGAGGTAGTTGAATTGAGGTAGTTGAATTGAGGTAGTTGAATTGAGGTAGTTGAATTGAGGTAGTTGAATTGAGGTAGTTGAATTGAGGTAGTTGAATTGAGGTAGTTGAATTGAGGTAGTTGAATTGAGGTAGTTGAATTGAGGTAGTTGAATTGAGGTAGTTGAATAGAGGTAGTTGAATTGAGGTAGTTGAATTGAGGTAGTTGAATTGAGGTAGTTGAATTGAGGTAGTTGAATTGAGGTAGTTGAATTGAGGTAGTTGAATTGAGGTAGTTGAATTGAGGTAGTTGAATTGAGGTATTTGAGTGCCCTGATTACGTCTCACAATTTACATTGGTGGTATCTCGCATGTGCTGCATACGGTAGAGGTATTTAGGTGCGAGTTTGGAAAGAACGATGAAAGAAAAGAGTTGTTAGACGACATCGACAGCAGCACTGGCCCAGCACCATCTCTCCTCGTCTCTCTCCTCATCTCACAATATGTGTCACTCCAGTGGTTTCTATTCAAGTGCAGAAATGCAGTACTTACAATTGAGGTATTCAAGTGCCAGGATGGTAACCGCATTGCAGAAGAGAGTGAAGAGAACACCGACAGACGATAGCAGCTCCCCCCCACACCCAGTAGGGGTCGGTCCAGAAGCTGCTATTCAAGTGCATTGCAGTGCCAGAATGGTGCTTACGGTTGAGGTATTCAAGAGCCAGAATGGTAACCGCATTGCAGAAGAGCGTGAAGAGGACCCCGACAGCAGCACCGCCCCACACCCAGTAGGCATCAGTCCAGAGGTCTCGAGCCTCTAGCACCTGAAGGCCCATTGTTGTGTTCAGCGAGGGGGGGACAGAGGGCTGGGGAGCAGTGGGGGGGGGGGGGAGCACGGGTAGAGGCAGATGAGGAGATAAGCGAGGAGAGATGGCTCAGGGGCAGGCAATGGTTGGGTGTTGAGCTGGCCTCTTGAGGGGACAAACATACAGCAGCACCGCCCCACACCCAGTAGGCGTCAGTCCAGAGGTCTCGAGCCTCTAGCACCTGAAGGCCCATTGTTGTGTTCAGCGAGGGGGGGACAGAGAGGACTGGGGAGTAGGGGAGGCAGGGAAATTAAAGGGATGAGGGCAAAAAGGGAAATGAGGTTGCGAGTGAGGAGAGAGAGATGGTGAGGCAACCCTGGGTCCAGAGGTTGCGAGCCTCTAGTACCTGAACGCCCATTGTTGTGTTCAGCGATGGGGGGACAGAGGGCTGGGCGAGAGGGCGGGAGGAGGATAGGGGATGAGGAAAGCAGGGGGGGGACGAAGTTGAGTGAAGGCAGATGAATGGGGAGGGAGCGACATAGGTTGATGTTTTCCTGAAGGAGACATGGTTGCAGGGCACGGTACAGAACGCACATGGCAAGGAACTGCACTTCACATACCAGACTTCACCGTACCACACTATTACCTTAACTTACCGTACCATACTACACCACACTGTACCATACTATTACCTTTAACTTACCGTACCATACTATACCACACTGTACCATACTATTACCTTAACTTACCGTACCATAATATACCACACTGTACCATACTATTACCTTAACTTACCGTACCATACTATACCACACTGTACCATACTATTACCTTAACTTACCGTACCATACTATACCACACTGTACCATACTATTACCTTAACTTACCATACCATACTATACCACACTGTACCATACTATTACCTTAACTTACCATACCATACGATACCACACTGTACCATACTCTTACCTTAACTTACCATACCTTACTAAACCATTCTGTTCCATACTATCACCATAACTTACCATACCATAATATACCATACTAATACCATAACTTGCCATACCATACCATACCATACCATGCCATGCCATGCCATGCCATGCCATGCCATGCCATGCCATACCATATGAGGTGATGCTACGATATGGTACCTTATGGTTGTTGACGGGAATGTGGCCCCGCTCTCGCTTGGGCGAAACAGACTTCGCAGTTGGGTGCGCGGGAGGTGCAGCCGGCTACTGTCAGTGGTTGACACCGACTTGAGGAGGGATGTTGACAGACTTGGTCAACTTCCGTAACACCATTGTGAAGCCGCCGACGAGGAGCAGTCGGCGGCCGACTTCGACCTGGACGGTCGACGAAGGAGTTCGTCGAACTGAGGGCGCCGACTTGTGGGCGCCGGGGACACCTGGTCGACATGGTCATCTGGCCGACGAAGTTCTGCGGGGGTGTGCGGACGTCGCACAGGAGGTTCTGACGAAGTCGACCTTCGGGTTGGTATTCCGAGGTCGACGTGGCACATCTGGCGCAACCGTCGGCACGTGGCCGACTTGGCACCTGCGCAATGCACGTGACGGTGCACGACGTGCTCAACCGTCTACAAGCACATGCGAAGTAGGTGCGCGTACATACGCCTACAGTCGCCTGCGGTTGCAACGCTGGCAAGCTACCTTGTTGCAGCGTTGGCAAGCCGTCTTGGTGCAGCGCTGGCAGGTCACCGACTTGCGACGTTGGCGAGCTGCCTCCTTGCTGCGCTGGCACGGTGTCAACTTGCAGCGCTGGCAGAGCGCCCCGTGCTGCGCTGGAGGTCGACCTGCCTGTGTGCTAGGTTGCTAGGCCACTGATGTAGTCATTGTTGTCATTGCCTTTTGCAACATTTTGTACCCAAATTTTGCTAGTGAAACTCTTGCCAATTTGATTTGTGGATGCGCAACTAGAGAGAATACGAGCAAACGCTACGATCACTCGTACCACCCGTGCTTTTCCCCATAGTCCAGCTCCCGGTGTAGAGTGACTCTTCGCAATGGTGTGGGGTGGTATGGTGTGGTGTGGTGTGGTGTGGTGCCCCGCAGCACACAGCACGTACCACATCCCATCTGGGGGCGAGAAACTCGTTGATGGCAAAGGCGTTTTGGCAGTATGTGAGGGGCGAGAGCCAGTACACCCACACCCACACGTCGTGGATATCGTCTGCATGGGGAGAGAATGGAGCAGTGGAACGGGGGTGTGAGCGTGAGGGTTGGACGAGGGATCAATAAACCCACACCACACATCGTGGATGTCGTCTAAAGGGGGAATGAACAGAACAAGTGGATGGTGGCACAGGTGAACAAGGGTGTGAGCATTGGGAGGTGCGACCATGTGCGGGCAAGTGTGTGTATGTGTGAGCATTTGTTAGTGAGTATGTGCGAGCAAGTATGCACACATGTGGGCACGAGTGGGCATGCGTGGGCATGTGTGGGCATGTGGGGAATGTGTGGGTATGTTTGGGCATGTGTGGGTATGTGTGGGCATGTGTGGCATGTGTGGGCATGTGTTGGCATGTGTGGGCATGTGTGAGCATGTGTGTGTGAGGGTGTGTTTGAATCTGGAGCGGACTTGGAAGGTGCATGCAAGAAACAGGAATAGTGGCTTGGTTATATACACATACAAGTACCTTCTCTTACAACCCCATACCTGGCTCTTTGGTGGTGATGAAACCAGAGAGCAATAAGCCAAGGACGAGGCTGAAGATTGCTGCTCTCACATGAAACGGCAGGAGTGATTCTGAAATGCGCCGATAACCTATATGTACCGATATGTACCGATATGTACTGATATGATATGTACCGATATGGACCGATATGCACCGATATGGACCGATATGCACCGATATGTACCGATATGCACCGACATGTACCGATATGCACCGATATGGACCGATATGCACCGATATGGACCGATATGCACCGATATGTACCGATATGCACCGACATGTACCGATATGCACCGATATGTACCGATATGCACCTATGTACCGATATGCACCGATATGTACCGATATGCACCGATATGCACCAATACAGGTAGACAGGTTCGAAATGCGGTGCCCTCACAAGCAAGCACACACCTTTGGTGATGATGAACCCTGAGAGCAGGAAGAGCAGCGCGAGGATGCAGTTGCCAAATGTGTTGACGAGTGTGGCGTTGCGAAACACAGCTCCCATGGCTCGGTAGAGCGCAGAGCCAGCCATGTGCGTGATGAAGAAGAGAAGAAGCTGGGCGATGAAGCTGCATGGGGGGGAGCGGGGGTGGGTGGTAGGGAGGAAGGGGAATGGCTCTCATGCAGTCTAAAAAGAGATGATTCCTTTGGCAGTCTCAAGGCGTGGAAACTGGCTCCCATGGTTTGGTAGAGAGCGGAGCCAGCCACGTGGGTGATGAAGAAGAGAAGCAGCTGGGGGAAGAATCTGCAGAGGGAGGACGGAAGGTGGCAGGGAAAGAAGGGATTTGTCTCAAGGCGGAGGTGTTTCAAGGCGTGAAAGATGGCTCCCATGGTTTGGTAGAGAGCGGAGCCAGCCACGTGGGTGATGAAGAAGAGAAGCAGCTGGGGGAAAAATCTGCAGGGACGGGAGAGTAAGGCAGGGGGAAGAGGGGGAGAGGGCGGAGAGAGGGTGGAATGGAGAGAAGGGGATGCGTTTTAGGGCGTGAAAAATGGCCCCCACGGCTCGGTAGAGTGCAGAGGGAGACGTGTGGGTGATGAGGTAGAGCAGCAGTTGGGTAATGAATCTGCAGAGAGGAGAGGAGGGTTGGGTGGTATGAATATTGAAGGAGATATTATGAAGGAATGGATGGAGAGGGAATCGGGGGCAATCCCAAGGGGATCGGGTTAAATCTCTAATTGGTGGGTTGGAGATTTCGATTCATCACATTTGTGTTTGGTTGGGATGTGGGCGTACATTCAACCAACACAAACTACGGACTACACAGGTCTTGGATATAAAAATTACGAGTCCAAAAGTTGAGATTGAGGGCTAACACTAACAGAACCTACCCAGGAAAAACTCACAAGGAGGAAGTTACCAGGAGGCGAATCCGATGCCATAGTAGGTGATGGCGGTCCAGACTCCAGCCGAGAGCAATGGGAGTGAGCACTATAAAGCCTCAAGAAATGCCTCGGAAGAACACACCGATGGGGTAGTAAGCGACTCACCGGGAGAACTCCGGAGCGAATCCGATGCCATAGTAGGTGATGGCAGTCCAGACCCCAGGTGAGAGCAGTGTGAGTGAGCATTATGAAACCATGGAAACTCGTACTGAGAACTCACCGGGAGAACTGGGAGGTGAAGCCGATGCCATAGTAGGTGATGGCGGTCCAGACCCCGGCGGACCAGAGGGAGACGGGCAGAGAGAGCAGCGCCATGGGCACACACCAGGCCCACGCGGGGAACAGCAGATTGTCCCTTTGGAGGAAGTAGATGGGCAGGCGGGCTGTGAGCAGCGTGAGCTCGATAAATCCTCCGAACAGCATTGTGATTATACCGAAGAAAATTGCTCCGAGGTAGAAATTGCCGTCGAGAGGGGTGACGGAGAACTGGGAGCGAAGGAAAACAGTCGCAGTGATTATAGCAAGGGGGAGGGTCTGACAAGGGGGGGGAGAGGAATGGAGGGGAGAGGGGTGGGGGGGGTGAGGGGGGGAGGGGGAAGGGAGAAGGGGCATGGCAAGAGGGCTGTGAGGGAAGAAAAGGAGTTCCTGTTTTTTTTGTGAGCGTAAGAGCATCGGATCCAATTTGGGAGGGTGGCTATGGGAAAGAAGTAGGTCAAGTGGGTAGGCCAGTCAGTGTGACTGTAACGAGCACCTGTAATGAGCAGATATGCACCGAGCAACTGTAACGAGCATCTGCTGTACCTGCATGGTCTGCACGATGTAGAGAAACAGATTCCGCCTCATCAGCAGCCACTCTCGATCCGCCACAACACTGAGCATCGCAAGGGGAGGAAGCACAAACCGCCTCTCTGCCAGAGCAAGAGTCGCACCCGCATCCTCTCTGCCTTCCTTCCCCTCCTCTCTGCCTTCCTTCCCCTCCTCACTGCCTTCCTTCCCCTCCTCTCTGCCTTCCTTCCCCTCCTCTCTCCCAATGTTCAGGTCTTTTCCATCGTTCTCTCCCGTGAATGCATCCCGATCCTTCCTCAATGGAACGGAGAGCTCGGCCTCCATCTGCTTGCCTAACCTGGAGGCTCGGAAGGCCTCCTCGAAGGCTCGGACGGATATGTAGTGGTATGGCTGGAGCTGGGACGGGTGCCAGTACTGCTCCTGATCTTTTAACGAGGTGACCTATAGGGGGGATGGGGGAAGCACGGTATGGGAAGCCGGGGAAAAGGAAGTCGAAGATACGAAAGAGGAAATTCTGGAAGACAGAAAAGAGAGTATGTGCGAATTCCGGCTTGTGTGTCGACTCAAGCCAGAGGCATCATGCGGGAAGCACATTTCTTATTTCTGAGTTACTCCTGAGAATTGTCAGCACCAACTCAGCACCATGGGGGAACGCACGTCAGGAACAAACCCAGAGAAGCGGCAAGTGAGGAGAAAGAACAAAGAGGCAGCATGTGGGAAACACACACCTCCTGCAGGAAGTCAGCCACTCCCTTGCGGGGCGGGCGACTTTTGAGGCGCCTCAGAGGTGCGTCTGAGTCGACTCACCTGAGGTCAGAGGCAGCATGGGGGAAACTCAACTCACCTCCTGCAGGAAGTCAGCCACTCCCTTGCGGGCGGGAGGCGCAAACCCCATTTCCCGGAAGAATCCCAACACCTCCTCCCTGGGCCCATGGTACACAATCCGCCCCTCTGACATCAGCATGACGTCATCAAACAGTTCAAAGGTTTCGGGCGCGGGTTGCAGCAGGGAGATGAGGGTGGTGGTATTAGTTAAGTGCGTGAGGTTGCGCAGGCACCGCGTGATCTGGTAAGTGGTGGCGAAATCGAGACCGGTGGAGATCTCGTCCAATAGGAGGACTTGCTTTGCGCCCAGGAGTGCTTCGGCGGTGGTAACCCGCTTCTTCTGCCCTCCTGATACTCCTCGACGCATGCCATCGCCTAGCATGGTCCCAGCACACACGTCCAGGCCTAGCATCTGCATTCGAGGGGGTGAGAGATGGCAGACACAGGGACTGTTGCTCTATATTCGTGCACGGGCAGAGATATTCACACACATGCACGCATATGCACACACATGCATGCACATGCACACACATGCACACACATGCACACACATGCATGCACATGCACACACATGCACACACATGCACACACATGCATGCACATGCACACACATGCACGCATATGCACACACATGCATGCACATGCACACACATGCACACACATGCATGCCCATGCACACACATGCACGCATATGCACACACATGCATGCACATACGCACACATGCACATGCACAAACATGTACAAACATGCACACACATACACACATGCACGTACATGCACGCACGTGCACACGCATGTATACATACACATGCACGCACACGCACATGCACACACATGCACGCGCATGCTCGTCCCCTCCTCCCCACACACCGACACCCACCTTCAGGACGGAATGCACCACAACATCGGAGCACCGCCTCTCATCCGCCATCGCCTGCAGCAAAGAGCAACGGTCATGATGCATGCAGCAAAGAGCAACGGTCATGATGCATGCAGCAAAGAGCAACGGTCATGATGCATGCAGCAAAGAGCAACGGTCATGATGCATGCAGCAAAGAGCAACGGTCATGATGCATGCAGCATAGAGCAACGGTCATGATGCATGCAGCAAAGAGCAACGGTCATGATGCATGCAGCAAAGAGCAACGGTCATGATGCATGCAGCAAAGAGCAACGGTCATGATGCATGCAGCAAAGAGCAACGGTCATGATGCATGCAGCAAAGAGCAACGGTCATGATGCATGCAGCAAAGAGCAACGGTCATGATGCATGCAGCAAAGAGCAACGGTCATGATGCATGCAGCATAGAGCAACGGTCATGATGCATGCAGCAAAGAGCAACGGTCATGATGCATGCAGCAAAGAGCAACGGTCATGATGCATGCAGCAAGAGCCGAGGGGGGGGAGGGGAGGGGAAAGACTCGGTAGGGAGGGTGGATGAGATGTTACTTTACATACATTGGGTGAGATGCAATGCTTTCAACCAGTCTGTACATGGATGTGTTCACTTCAGATGTTTTGTGTGGGCACAAAGGAGGTATCAAGACGTCTCTGGCTTGAATCAAGCGTGCATTATAGCTGAGATTGTGGCATAAAAAAACTCACTCCCATCCCATGACGTCATCAGGTACCTTCATAACAGCTTGCATGACGTCATCAGGTACCTTCATAACAGCTTGCATGACGTCATCAGGTTGGACTCCAGATTCCTTCTCTTTCTCCTCCAACTGCCGAAATAGGTCTGAGCGGGGAGGGAGGGAAGCGAGAATGAGCGATATCTTTGCGGGTCCCTGCGGACGAGCAGAGAAGTCTGGGGTTTCTCCAACAGCTTCGGCAGACAAGCAGGGTCCGAAATAGGTCTGAGCGGGCAAGGAGGGGAGGGAGAATGAGCGATAGGTCTAGGGGAGCAGAAGAAGCTGGGAGAAAAATGAGTCGGTAGAAGAAAGGTCGGGTGGAATCCATTTTTAGCGAGGATGTATCGGCGCAGTTAAATCCAGACGAGCCAGAGTTAATAGTTTCTGCAAACGAGGGGACCCCTGTATGGCTGTCCGTCTTTTGGGCCACGCGTGACATGGCTCTCCCTGCCACATCACCTCAACTGGTCGTCACCTATTGTTGCACTATCCATACAACTCAAAAACCCACCTGCCCTGTGGCCATCCGCCTTTTGAGCCGTCAAGAACTCACCTGCCCGGTGACCATCCTCCCTTTCAATACATCTGAATACCTCACCTGCCCGGTGGCCGGGCCCCTGCAGGCGAGCGGAGAACTGGAGGGTCTCCCGGACAGTCATCTCGCCGATGTGGGAGTCTGTCTGAGGCACAAACGCCACGGAGCGCGGCAGCACAAACTGGCTCCCCGGGCGGCCGTTGTACGTCACCTCGCCCTGCACGCGCAGCTCCCTCTCCGCCTTCCCTGCCAGGATCTTCAGCAGCGTTGACTTGCCGCTGCCTGGCGGCCCCAGCAGCAGCGTCATCCTGTAGGGGAATGGGTGGGGATGGGTTTGATTAGATGAGGCTGGGTTTGACAAAGGCGTCTCAGATAGGATCCTGAGGAGAGTTAAAATTGCCAGCTTCTGCCTGGCGGCCCCAGCAGCAGCGTCATCCTGTGAGTTGGGAGGATGATGAGGGTTTGGGGTTGATCAGCAACGGGATGTACCGATTTTTCCAACGCATCTCAAAGAGGACATTGAGCAGCGTTGAGATGCCAGAGCAGCGTTCAGATGCCAGAGCAGCCGACACGAGCGAAGAACAGGCGGCACTGGTCCTTGACTTAAAAGCCTACCTGCCAGGTTTCAGGATGCCAGAGCAGGCATCAAGAGAGAACATTGGGTGGCGCTGATCCTCTAGCCGCAGTTCCCTCGTCGCCAGCTAGGCTTGGAATTTTCTTACCTGCCAGGCTTGAGGATGCCAGAGCAGCCATCAAGAGCGAAGAAGAGGCGGCGCTGGTCCTTGAGTAGGCGCAGCTCCCTCAGCAGCGCGGCGGTGGAGTTGGCGAGCTGGTTGAAGAGCGTGGGCAGACCCCTCGCCCCCACTTGCACCTTGGCGGACGCGCTCACCCCCTCAAAGCGCACCTCCACTCCGGGGAACGACACTCCCACGCTGAGAGGGATGGGGGGGGGGGGTAGAAGATGGGAGGGGTTATTGGGAGTCCCCCCGACCCCACTTTGCACCTTGGCGGACGCGCTCACCCCCTCAAAGCGCACCTCCACCCCGGGGAACGACACTCCCACGCTGTGAAAGAACGGAGGTGGGAAAGGGTGGGGGTGAGGAGTTGGGGATAACGAAGGGGTAACTGGGAATGGAATTTACCCCCTCAAAGCGCACCTCCACTCGGAGGAACGACACTCCCACACTGTGAGGGATGGGGGGGAGGTTGAGGGAATTGGGCGAACAGAAGGTGTAAATGGGCAGGTACCTTGCCGCCTCACCCTCTCAAAACGCACCTCCAATCCGGGGAACGACACTCACACGCTGGAATGGGGGTGAGAGATGGGGAATAGAAGGGATAAGCTTCACCATTGAATGGGCAAGGCGACCCCTTCTCCATGCAGCTTTGGCGGGGCGGATGTACTCACTCTGCGGACACACGCCGGGGGTGAGGGGGAGGTTGGGGCGTGCTCACGGGAATCGCCAGAATCTGCTGTCTGGGTCTGTCGCCCGAACAAAACAAAAAAAAAACAAAAAACAAAAAACAAAAAACAAAAAAAAACAAAAACAAAAACACCGACACTGGAAGTCGCACCTGTCCAGTCGTCGCCGCATCTTCTCGAGGAACTTCTCGTTGTCCAGCTCACCGCCCTCCATCGCCTGCTCCACTAATCGCCGCCACGCCATGTGGGGCTCCTCGAGGTCCATCTCCCCCATCCCTGCCGCTCTTGTCGTGCTGTCACCTTTTTTCGAGTTATTATTCCTTTTCAACCCTCTCACTTCCCTCCGAATTTCCCGTTTTTCCTACTTTGTTTCCGTCGTAATTTTCGCCGTCACGATCCCGCACGCGGACGTTGAGCATATTTCATCTCAGTAGTAGCACCCCGCTGCCAGAGTGCAAAATCACTTCACAGACGTGTCGTAATGCGCTAACTAGTAGTACTACTAGCAGTACAGCCTCTACAATCAACTTCGCAGCAGTTGACGCCAGAGAAACACACATACTACAGAGAGACTGAAAAGAGACTGAAAATCCGCAGAGCACTGGAGCATTTAGAAGCTTTCCAAAGGTGCACTGTAACATGATTGCTCATGAAATGTGCGCTTTGGTTGGTTTTGAGACGCCTCAAAACGAAATGCGCGCTTTGGTTGGGGTTGAGTCGACTCTATTCAAACGGGGATGTTTCCTGCAAGGTAGGGAACGTCAGCGTGCCTCTCAACAGTATCGACTGTGGCCAAAGCTTGCCTGACCAGCACGTTTTGTAATGCACGAACTTGTGCTAAGTGGTACAGTAGTACGATTGATGTTCTTGATGCTGTACAGTACACGAATTGTCGAGGTGAAACATCTGTAGATCATGGGCAGAAACACGAAATGTTTTTGCAATCCACGAAGCACGCACGTGGATTCATTGGTAATATCTGCCACATGTGAGGCGACCTCATTTGAGGCTGTCATTCATTCGCATGTGTGATTCGCCAACCTTCGCCAGCACGTAACCATGCAATAGTGCTATTTTTACAAATCTGGCGACATGGCGACGGAATCCTCGAACTGTAATCCGAATTTGCGGCGAGTTCTCAGCTACAGTAGTACAGGTATGTCCATCGCTCCGTCGCATGTCAGGTATGTCCACAGTCAACCAACAGCTTTTAGGGAGGGTAATTATAAGGCCAGTCACAATTATGCCCGTTTTATCACGTTTGGTCACAGGGGTATCACGAACAGTCACAGTACAGTAAATTTCTATCGCGAGTGATCACAGTGCTATCACGGATGGTCACACCTCGCCCCGAAAAGCTATCACGTTTGGTCACTCGTTGAAATGATCGATAGGAAGTTGAAACTACTCAAGTCACCGTGGGAATTCATGGAAAATTCTCTCGCGCCCGCCGTTTTGTCCGTAGTGTTACGAAATAGTTTCGCGACAACTCTAGTTAACTCGTTAAAAACATTTGCAATTTCTTGTTCCTATTCGATTGTCCATTGTTCGATTGATGCATAATGTTACAAAAAAAATCACTTTTAGGCGGGTGAAACTCGAAGGTTAATTTCTGTTCATATGACAAAATAAAAACTAAAACCCATTCGAATGGGATTTAATTCGGGATGCATCAACCCTAAACACCTTGTCGCATGGTGTTTAGGGTTGATGCCTCCCGAAGGACGTGACATCCTATAGGGTTTTTTTTTTTTCTTCAGTCCCCTAAATGTCAGGCTAGAATCATGCGCGAGGTAAGAAGCAATCAAGATTGGGATTCCTCAAAATCTCTACAGTATCTTTTGTGGTTTCATATTAATTACGATCGTTTCATCGAGTGACCAAACGTGATAGCCTGTCGGGGCGACGTGTGACCATCCATGATAGCAATGTGGTCACCCGCGATATAAATCTACTGTACTGTGACTGTTCGTCATACCCCTGTGACCAAACGTGATACAACGGGCATAATTGTGACTGCCCGTATAATTTCCATTTTAGTGAGCTACACGACTGGTATAGGTACACGATTTTATGTAAGTGTAACGAAAACTCCTTTTCCTTACTTCGCGCCCCTGCTTACCGCGTACATGACCATTCCCGCCACCAGCACCCAACAGTGAAACGTTTGTCAAATTATAATACGTGTCTAGCCTGCAGTGGGGTACTCTATAGTGAGTACGGCCCCTTAGGGTTTCCTATTTGTATCCCAACTGTTGCTAGTCCAACCCTCTTTTGCTCATTTCTCTCTTGCCTAGCTAGGTAAACCCTAGCTATGGCTCCTTATTCTACCTACTTTTCTGACATGGTAACAGAGCATTTACGCTCTTGGCCTGTGGGCCCACCTACCTGCTTCCGCTGCTACTCGGTCTGTCGCGCGCCCCGTGGCGTGCGACGTAATTTTTATCCCGCCGCGCGCTGGACGCGCGCGGCGGTTTTCTCTCTGGCGCGCGCCCCGGGGCGCGCGGCCTCTTTCCTTCCTGGCGCGCCGCCCCCGCTGTTCCGTCGCGGCGCCCTGAGGAGCCGCGCGCGCCCCCCGCCCGTCCGTCGCGTCGCCCTAGGGTGTCGCGCGCAGCCCCTGTCGTCTTGTCGCGGCGCCCTGGCAAGGCGCGCGCGGCCCCCTGCCGTCCTATCGCGCCGCCCTGGCAAGGCGCGCACGGCCCCTGTTGGTCCGCCGCGGCGCCCTGGCGAGGCGCACGCGGCCCCGGCTGTACCGTCGACCCCCCCCCCCCCCCCCCGTGCCGCCCATTGCTCCCGTGCCGCCGTGCGTTCCGCGGTTGTGGGGGGTGTGGGGTGGCGGGCATGGGGGTGAGCGGTGTGGGAGCTACTCGTCCCCTGCTCCTCCTCCTCCTCCGTCTCCCACTACTGCAGCTGCCGCTGAGGGGGGTGGGTGTGTGGGAGCCCAGGGAGTGGTGCTAAGGGGGTGACGTGGGAGTGGAGCTAGGGGTACAGCAAGGGGTGTGTTAAAGGGGGGTGGGACAGTTGGGGGAGGTTGAGCGGAGGTTGCCGTCTTGTCGTCCGCAGCACCTGTAGTCCGGGGCGCTGCTCCGGTAGCCCAGAGAGCCTGCTGCGCCTGTCGCCCGTGGGTCCGTTGCTCCTGCCGCTCTTCGTAGCCGCCGAGCCAGTTACTCCAGTAGTCCGGGGCGCTGTCCCAGTAGCCACTGTGCCAGCCGCTCCTGTAGCCCGTGTGTCTGCAGCTTCAGCCGTCGCCTCCCATCTTCTCGCCCCCACAGTCTCTCCTCCTCCTCACTTGCCCTTTGTGAATGCCTCTAGCCTTGCTTGTCCTTGTGAACCTGCTCTATGCCAGCTGATTATACCCCACTTTGACTATGGGGGTGTGTCAGATTATAATACTTGTCTAGCCTGCAGTGGGGTACTCTATAGTGAGTACGGCCCCTTAGGGTTTCCTATTTGTATCCCAACTGTTGCTAGTCCAACCCTCTTTTGCTCATTTCTCTCTTGCCTAGCGAGGTAAACCCTAGCTATGGCTCCTTATTCTACCTACCTTTCTGACAACGTTACCCGCTCGCGACACTCGCCTCGACCACGACTCCCGCCACTGTTCACGATGCGACCCAACCTCACGGTTCGGTTGGTAACCCGCGCTCCGGACCTCCGCCTCTACATTTCCCAACCTCGGCGCTAGGCCCGTAGCGCACCCCAATTTCTCGCGTTACCGTTACCACGCTAGCTTCGCTATATATTCTTCGATCATGCCTTCGCTCAATGTATTGTTTTGCTTCGATAGTGCAATTCCCGCTCGCTCGCTCAATTGCACGCATAACACTTGGTATTCAGAGCCTACGATCTCTTCTCGAACTGCACCCACACCTTCGATTCCCCACTATCTTAATTTTTTGAGGGGGTAGACGTCTCTCAGCGTTCAGGCACCGCCGCTCGACGTGCTCTCTCGAAAGCACGCACGGCCACGACTGGGGCTCTCGCTGAGCTTGCCCGACACCCCCGCCATGGCCGAACTCAACCTTGCGACGTTGACGCAGGAACAGCTCGACCGTCTCGTGCGCCAACTCGAAGATTCGGCGCTCGAAATCGCAACTCTCACGGCGGAACGTGACTCCGGCTGCCAGCAATCAACGGTGAATGCACCAGCACCAACACAAGCACATGCAAATGCACCTGCGCAATCGGATGAGCCGATTGTCATCTCATCCGGCACACAGTCACATCACGACAGCGTGGGACAGCGCTCAGGCGCAGCCAGTGATGGCGCCGCCCAATCAATGCCGGCATGGAGAGAAACAGGGCCGCACCAAGCACGAGCAGGCCTCGCGAAGCCCATCGTCACGTCGAATTTGCAGCAACAAGCGGTAACGACAACATCGTCGCACCGATGTTGCTCAAGCCACAACGCCCGCCCTGCTTCGACCCCAGCCAACGTGGAGGTCTGACGGTTCAATCGTGGGTCTTTACGATGAACGTCTTCTTCGATGCGAATTACGTCGAGTCGGACGCAACGAAGATACGATACGCCGTTTCGCTGCTACGGGGCCCCACCATGGACCGGTGGAGAGTCATTGGGACATCGCCACGCGCCTACGAGCCGCCGTCGCAAGAGGAAGGGCCCGCGGGTGCAGCCATCACCTGGAGTTCGTTCTGCAAAAACGCATAGTACAGCACGTGGGATGCATGGTACGCAGGGATTCAGGCGCGCTTCGAGCCGATCGCGGCTTCTATTTCGGCGCGTCATAAACTGCGTACTTGGCGACTGCTTGGATCGGTCCAAGATTATACGAGCACTTTTCTCGCACTATGCGAGCAAGTCGGCTACATGCACGAGGCGGAGCGGGTGGACCATTACGTCGGAGGGCTGAAGCCGGACATTTCGCACGAAATCATGCTACGCTGGCTATCGAAATTCAACGAGATCCTCACGCTCGCCGAGAAAATCGACATTTTGCGCCGTCCGAGACGGGGGTCCTACTACGGACATCGTCCTCGGGGGGCGATCGAGCACGCCACCGTACATGCTGTTGTGGCAAACGCAGCTGCTGCGCCATTTAAGGGGTGCTTCTTTGCTTGGAACAGGCCGGGCCACCGCAAGAGCGAGTGCCTAGAGGAGCTGAGACGCCGCGGAGCAGAGCAGGGGAGGGAGTCTGGAAGGCAGGGAAACGCCAACAGTCATTAGAGATCGGGCCCACTACTGACGAGACTCACTGACCCTCACCGAGTCACAGTACCGATTCA